AACTCCAAACATACCGCCCCTCCACAAAAAAAGTATAATCGGCACATCGTCCCCATACCATTTTGAGGGTTATTGTTCGATACTCCTCCTGTAAAGGGACGCGCCCGACTCAACGCTGGGATCGAAACGCCACACCAGCAGCCCAGGGCGGCCCAGAAAACCCGGGCCCCACACGGACCTTGTTGGGTCGGCGAGCGCGCCAGGCACGGCGTGCCGGAAGCGCCGACCCCAAACATCCGCGCGGAGCCCCAACATCCACGAAGAAACAAGCGCGTTCCACTGCTCGCAGAACACCTGCTCGCAAATAGCCCGCATCCGCCATTGGGGGATTGACGATGCATTACGTATTCCGTCGGTGCAAACGTATGCTTTTCCGACATCTGCGAGCAGGCACCCTGCGAGCAGCGGAACGCGCTCGGTGAACGAACGGGCCCCCGAAAGCCAGCGGAGCGACGCAAAGAAACGGATCTGAGGTGAGATGGCAGCGCGACAGTCCGCGTGGGCTTACGCGGGTCGCCAACACGGCCCGCTGTAGTTGAAACGAGGTCGCTCGCGCGCGACATGGCGCGGGCAGCTTTCGCGCCAACGTCGATGAGAACGAGCAAAAGTCCTACGTCGTCCGACTGCCGTTGTCTCCACTCGTTCTGGTCGTCGGGGGGGGGGCGGGAGGGGTATGACGTGACGCCCCCCCCCCAACGCCGTGTGGCTTCGGCACCGCAGCCGCGCTCACGACGACGATGAGCGACGAGCAGCGAACGACGACGACGACGACGACGATGGCGACGACAACGACGACGGCGACGACGTCGACGACGTCGACGACGAGGGGGGGAATAAAAATCGTAGCGCTTCCGCGTGCACCACAGCGCCTGCGCGCACGAGCCACGAGCAGGGGCCACGAGCCACGACCAGATCAGCACCATCCGCGTGCGCACCGCAGTCCCTGTGCGCCCCACAAGGCCTGCGTGCACCTCTGGGATCCTATGGGGCCCCGACGTGACGACGTGCAAAGAAATCGTGGGGGCGTCCGATATTATCACATTCGATTTGTGAACTGGGTATGAGTCGTGTTTTTCTTGCCCTGCGTACACCACTGCATTTTGAGCCCGTATCGCATGTGAACGCCCGTGAGAAGGAATGGCAAGGAATGGTGAGGGCAATCAACAGTGGCGCTTCTGCGTGCACCAAAGCGCGTGTGCGCACGAGCCACGACCAGGGGCCAGGAGCCACGATCATGTCAACACCATCCGCGTGCACCACACACGTGCGCTCCACAAGGCCGCCGCGCACATCTGGGGTCCCGACGGGACCAAATTCAAGATAATCGCGGAGGCGACCGACCTTATCGAACTCCATATGTAGGTTGATTGTGATGATGTTTGTTCTTGCCCTGTGCGCTGTGCAATTTGACCCCACGACGCCCGCGCACGCCATGGCCACTGCGCGCACCACAACGCCCGCGAACACCACGCGGCCTGGGGGCACGCGGAACTGCGTCAACATCAAGAATACAGTCGGGGCGTTGACCTAAGGAACCCTAAATAAGGAACGGGGCCCCTTTCTCCCATGCATTGAACTTCGATTTCCCATGGAAAACCTCCGGGAACCAGAAAATATACTGTAGAATAATCACGGAACACCGAGCCCCTCCCCAACGAGAAGGGTTCCTTCTTCGGGGCCCCGACTGTAGCAAGCGCAGATGGGGGGCACGAGGAGCGGCAACAGCAAGAACAGAATGCCGACGAGCCAGTCCATTGCTGTCGAACCGGTTGCGCGCTGACAGCCATGTCCATGGCTGTCGGCGCACAACTGGGCCGCCCAACAGACTGCCTCTGCCGTCTCTTGGCGCCGAAATGGCTTGACCCCAAAATGGCGATACGGAGGAAGAGGGGGAGGAGGAGAAAGGGGGAAGAGGAGAAGGATGAGGAGGAAGAGGAGGAAGAAGAGGGGGAGAGGGAGGAGAAGGAGGAGGAAGAGCTTTCACCGGGAGCACAAAATCACAATGTCGGATCCCTATGCGGATCCCAGGGCAGGTCCATATGCGAATCCCTCTGCCGATCCCTAGGCGGATCCCTCTGCGGATCCCTGCGCGGATCCCTTTGCGGATGCTTATGCGGATCACGATGCGGATGTCTATGCGGATGCCCATGCACATTGCCATGCGAATCCCTATGCGAGTCCCCATGCGGATCCTTGCGCGGATCCCTATGCGGATCCCGCTGCGGATGCGCATGCGCATCCCCATGCGGATCCCCATGAGATTCAAAACGCGGACCAGACTCCTATGCGGATACCTATGCGGATTCCGATGTGCACGGCGGCAACGCCCGGGGCGCACTGGGGGGGGGGAGCGTTACGTCATAGTGGGGGGGGGGGGAACGGGGCCATGACGCCCGTCATGCCCCAAGCAATAAAGAAACACGCTCAAATCTCCACCATTTCATCAGCGCAGATGAAGAAAGTTCTAGCAAAAGGGTGGGAGGCCTGTAAGAAAGAGAAGTGCTGAGGGTATACTGGCATCATGAACCGCAAGTTCGGAGTTCATCGAATCACTAGCGGAGAACGTGGAGAATGGAGTGAACAAGCAAAATTGAAGCTCGGTCGTTCCCAAGGGCTGGACTGGGTCGGAACCGCACATCTGTCTAGAAAGTGAGACCGCAAACGATTGCACCGTGATAGTTTGTGGCCAGAATGGTTGCAATGCAATGCTTTGTGGCTTGCTTCGATACAGCGTAACCGTTTTTGCAACACGCATGCCCGGAAAACTTTGGCACATCATTACCAAATCACATACAATAGTGTGTGTGTGTGTGTGTTCACAGGGTGGCCATTCTGTGAAATACTCAACAAATGGCGCAACCGTCTGTGTGCACTGGTTTGGCCAATCGCCTCTCAGGGTTGCAACCGTTTGGCCGGTCCAACGTTCCAGCCTTGCGGGCCGCCAATTCGCCAAAAACACGTTTGCAAGTTTGCCGGCGTGTCTAGCGGCACGTGGTTTCTATTTGTGACTTGCTCCATGCGAATGAGGGCGTTCCATCTTTGCGAGTTGGCAGATCGTGGACGCAACACATTCACATGCAGTCCCTGCGGCCGGGGGAGAATTCGTGCCGTGCCCCGAGCAGTGGCGATGCCGTCGAGCGTGCCAGGAGAATGTTTGCAAAACTCTACGAAAATCATTGCACTGCTGGGCCCCTCAATTTGCTCTCGACTCCTTGGCTGAAAACCCTTCAGCGTTATTTAGACACTCCGGATCCGTTTTCGACGGTCGCGGGGCCAGAAAACGGCCTCAGGAGACCGACCCAGAACCTGGAACATGCCCGTCCTCTTGGCTGGCCGGAACCAGTGCTGAGCTACCTCATACCCCCAGACAGCTCTCAACTTGCGCGCCAATGTCGGTGAAGACGAAACCGTCTTCCTTCGTCGCTCAACTATCGCTGTCTGAACTTGCCCTCCTCTGACGGACGCCTCCTAGACAGAAACCGAGTAGATGGGGTCGGAGGATCGCGCCGCATCGCCGATGCATCGACGATACGTCGCTGATGCCTCGGCGCCATCGGCGTGGCGAAAATCGGGCAGCATCGAGCCGCATCGGCCATTCATCGTCTATGCGGCGCGATCTTCTTTCTTTCGGCATAGTGCAAGGCGTTCACACCTACACGTCCCACCGTCCCACATGGCCTCTAATAAAGCACAGTACCGTTGCAAACCCGATTCTAAAGCCAGCGCTTCGGCCACAAATGACGACTGCACTACATCAAACGTCATTCCTGCTCTATACACGACATGGTGGGAACCATCTGGAAGGTATGCTAAGATAGCGGTGCGGGCGCTATCTTCTGACCCCGTTCATCTCCGACCCCATCTGGGCGAGAGGCCCAGATCCGAAGCACGACTGGGGAAACCAAGCTGTCATGTCCAACACCTGTCAGAAGCATGATCACCCCCCTCCCCCCGGGATCCCGACTGCCATGAATTCGCTACCGACGGATCCTTTCTTTGAACTACGCCCCCGGAACATGTTGCACGGAGACCGAGCAGTGCGATTGGTAGATACACAGATGCATGTTGTAAGCATACAGGTACAAACATAGATACACACGCACGCACGCGCATGCATGGGCAAACGCGTCTGAACTGTGTGCGTGCAAAGGTGCAGGCTACTCCGGTCGACGAAGACATGGTTCTCGCCTTACTGGGACAGTGCACGTGAGCACGCGCGCGACACGACAGCGCGCGCGGGCGCGCGGTGGGCGTCCGACTCTCGCGCTCGGTAGTCTTAGGTGCCTGATGGGCCCCGCGCCGCCTCACGCGCCTCCCGCGCGCGGCATGCGCGCGCGGCTATTCAGGCCAGATCACGCGCTCGGCTTCCACGTCCGACGCGGCTGACTCCGCAGGGTCGCCGCGCGCGCGGCGGCCTCCGCAGTCCAGGCGTTGCTGCCCTGCCCCTCGCGGACTGCGCGCTGTCCCGCACAGGACTGGGCCCGGGCCGCCGCGCACGCGGCTGCACTGCCCCTCGCGCAGGGCCGCCGAAGGGCTGGTCGGGTGCAGCACCTTCGCAGACCCAGAGAGGGTGCGCGGAGGGGGTGGTCCCTGGGGGGAGTCTCTCAGGGAACCGAACTCTCTCTCTCTCTCTCTCTCTCTCTCTCTATATATATATATAAACCGACGCGTTTCACTCCAGGAGGGGGTGCGCAAGAGTCTGTCCCTGAACGCGGAGCGCCAGGCCGATCGTAGGGACGTCCCCGGTGGTCTGGTTTGCCCCGCCTTCCATGTGTTTCCTATTCTTGTTCTCTGAATAGAACAATTCATATGCATCTCTAAATATCCCCGATACCGATACTCCCCGGACCTGCCCCTGGGTGCGTTCTGACCAGGATTTCGAGTCGAATCCAGCGGTGGCAACGAGGGGCTCCAAGGAGACCCCCCAAAAGGAAAACACGGGGGAAGGGCAGTGGCATCGGTACCTCTTTGTCCACTGAACGACGGCGGTGCCAACCGACCCGCCGGCCCAGCCTGTACTGCTCCTGCGCCGCGGACATGTCGCCCTGCATGCGGCCCAGCACGCTGAGCGCCTCGGACTTCCAACGCTGCAGCAAGTCCACCTCCTCCCGGGCGGGCAACCCGCGACCCTCTCTCGGCTGCGTTGAGGAGGAGGAGGTGGAGGAGGAGGTGGAGGGGGAGGAGGAGGAGGAGGGATCTCTTTGGAGGTCTGCTGGTAAATGGGGTCCTCCTCCTCCCCCCCCTCCTCCTCCTCCTCCTCCTCCTCCTCCTCCTCCTCCTCCTCCTCCTCTTCCTCCTCCTCCTCCTCCTCCTCCTCCTCCTCCTCCTCCTCCTCCCACCCCAACCCATAGCCACACCCTTTGCCGTCGACGCTCCTCGGGCGTCCGGGGCCGCCGCAACGCCTCGGGCGCGCGACGGGCCCTCGGGCCCGTCGCGGCTCGCCGAGGGCCGGAGTAGGCGGGGTCGTGAGATGGCGCCGCATCGCCGATACGTCGTCGACGCGCTTCGGCGACGTCGGCGATGCATCGGCCCCGTCGGCGTGGAGAAACTCGTGCTCCACATCGAGCTGCATCGCCAATGCATCGGCGATGCGGCGCGATCCTCGGACCTCATCTGTGCTTACTCGGACCCCATCTAGGAGGCCCGGAGTCTTTGGGATCCCCAGAGCTTCCCAAGTCCACCTCGCGCCGTGACTCTTGGTCTCCAGGGGCCCTTACAAGGTCAAAACACTACGTGCGCGACTTGGCCAATGAAGAAAAGAACGCGTAGGAGGAGGAATAGGAGCAGGAGCTAACACTACTCAGAATGAAACATCGGTGCACGGGACGGGGTCTAGACCTCTCGAAATCCACGCCGAACAAAAGTCGTCACGAAATGCTCGAGCTTCCTCGAGGGTCCCATCCTCGACGAGGAGCAGCCGCTAATATCTTCTGCCCGCTCCTCCTGCTCCTCCATTATCGGTGCTCAATCGGGTGACCAACGCCTTTCGGAGGTTCTCGAAATTTGGGAGGAGGTCGGCTGCTTTTGGACGCTTGGTCCCTTCCAACATCTAGGACTCGACGGGCTGCAAACGGGCGGCACCGCCGCGCCTCACGCGAACCTGATGGGACAAGAAGGGGAAGCGCCGATATTGTCCATTGGGCTCGCAATGATAATGGCGACGACAACGCGACGGATGACGAGGATGATAGGGTAGATGATGGGGAGAGCAGCGATGCAAGCAGGGGGACAACGGGTAGGAAGTCTAGCACGAGGACGAGGTGGAAGAGATGGAGGAGGACGAGGAGGAGGCGGAGGAGGAGGAGAAGGACGACGACGACGACGACGACGGAGGACGGTAAGGAGCTCGAGGAAAAGGACGCCGAAGAAGGGGAAGGTGTTCTCGTTATCTGTTGAGGTTACCCTGGGGGCAGTTGGGGCCATCTGGAACTGTCTTGGGGCATCCTGGGGGCCTCTCGGGAGGCTCCACTTGGGGGCTACTGGAGTCTTCTTGGGCTGCCTGGGCGTGTCTTGAGTTTCGTTCTGGCTCTCACAAGCCGTCTTGGCGCCATCTCGGGGCGTCGGGGGGCCTCATGGGGCTCTCGTGTTGCCTTTTGTTTGTCCTCGGGCGCTCGGCGTGGACCGAGTGGGCCTCCGGGCGCAAGACCTCCGCCCAAGATGGCTGCACGATCCCGCCGAGGAACGCCCAAAAATGCTAGGGAACTCTCGGGAAGCTCTAAGAAACCCCCAATCCACCCAAGAAGCCTGTAACTTGCTGTCGCTCGGACGTCCATTTCCTGTGCATTTTTCGGCTTCGTGCGTGTTTCTTTTTGCTCGATGGTCCAGGATGCTCCTCGATGGTTCTCGCCCAGCAAAACATGCACACGTCCGAGCGATGCCGAGTGTAGGAAGTCCCATAACCAATCGGAACTGCGTTGTTGGTCTGCTCTGGACAGGCCGAGAGGGCGGCGTGCGGAGCCCGGCGGGTGCACTGCTGACCGGAGGACGCGACATCGCAGAAGTGCCTCGTGACCAAGACTGCTTGTAGACATCCCGTGGCCAAGGTTGTTCAAGGGGCCCATGGAAACACAAATCCGCCGATCCGGCGTGTGAGTTTCTGAGAGCGTGGACTTGAGCTCGCTCAAGCTTCGCTCTGCAGGGGGGGGGTGGGGGGCACGTTATTTCCGACGTCATGTCCGAAGTTGTTCGGTACACTGGGATATTTCCGACGTCATTTCCGACGGAGCCCCGACCGCCCAAGAAAGCCCAAGAGGAAGCAGAGGCCCCCTAGACAATGCAAGAGGGTCCCGAATCGCCGAAAAATCGCTCGAACCGCCCAAGATGCCCCCAAGACAGTTCCAGATACCTCCAAGACGTCCCCAAGTCTCACCCCCCCCCCGGATCGGCGGCATTGGCTGGAGAACCAGCCCAATAAATGCACACATCCCAGGACGTTTGGGAGTTTCGTCTTCCCCCGTCACTTCCAACATTTTTTTCAGATTTCCGAGGGAGTCGACAATGAATTGTTTCTATGTGTTTTTTCCCCTTCTGACAAGACCGTTGGAGAACAGCGGTTGTGTGTGGTTTGCTTTGGCTCTGAGAGCTGCTTTGGCTCTGAGCTGGACCTCGGTCGCGAGCAGAACTAGCCTCCAGCGGGCTGCCGTGAAACAGCACGGCGGAGGTAGAGGAGAAGGTCAGCGGAGGAAAAAAGGTACCCATACCCCTACTCGTCGCCCGTTTTCCCTTTTTGGGCCTCCTGGGAGGCCCTTGTCGCCAAGGCTGGATTCGCCTCGAAATCCTAGTCGGGACGCACCCCGGGAGAGGTCCGGGAAGTAGCGGTATCGGTACCTTCTGGTTTCTCCAAAAATAGGAACAGGGGATGCAGCGGAAGAGAAGAAAAACATGCCCTCCCCCTCCTTCCTTTCTCATCAGCCTAGTGAGCCTTGTGCACGGCAGGGCATGGGTGTTACGAGCTCCGTGTGTCGTGTTATTGTTTCCCTTTCGTTGCCGTTATTTGTCACGGCTCCGTCGCAAAATTTGTTACTATCGCTTCCCATCCCTGCTCCGATCCCGGCGCATCCGATTATCCGCCTCGGTGAGCCTTTATTTTGCACCGCCTTCATGATCAAGCGCCAAATCGTGCGGAAAATAACAGGCACAGCCCGGCCGCTTCCAAGGCCAGCTGAACTCCTCGTGCACGGAGCAGTCGCGTCGCTTCGCCCAGGCGGGCGGGACAATGCGAAATCCAGCAGGGCCGTCCCCCCTCGCCTGTGCCTTCCGCTCTGACCTCCCGGGGGCGGGGCGCCGCCTGGCCCAGCAGGGGGGTGGCCTGCTCTCTGGCCGATCTGCGTCGGATGCCGCGTCGAACGAATCCGCTCGAGCAGCCGCTGGGGTAGTCTTGAGCTCCCATGCGAACCGAAGCGCCGCCCCACCACAACGTACTCCCACAGAAAAGAACCCCGTCGCATCGCGCGCTCGGTCGGGCCCGGATAGTCCCTAGGCCGCTGGGGGCGCTGGCGCGCGCAATCTCATGACCGCAACCACCGCGCGGATGGCGCATGCATGGAGGCAAGAAAGCGACGGCCACTGCTTCTACAGAAACTTGATTATGCTGCGATTGGCTCCCACAGTATCCTCGCGCGACCCTCCTGCATCCTCCATCCTGACGTCGCTCGCGTCGTTCTCAGCCACCTCGCATCCCCCCATCCATCCACAATCTTCCCTGGTGGTTCTGACGGAGAAACAGGCGGATTATGGCAGAACGGCACGCGCGTCAAGGCGCGCCCAGAGCAACGCGCAAGACAGGCGCGCAAAGTAGGGATTTGCGTTGCAGCATCAACACATTGGCGCTTTCATCAACCAACATGTGCTGATCTTCGAAAAGGCAGCATGTCGGGCACCTTGTCCCCAACATCTCGCCAGGATGCCTGGGCCTGCACACCCTGCCCTGTAGACACGCTACACGTTCATAAGCGGACGCCCATCCAGTCCCAGCTCATAATGCGCACCCAGACAAGTAATGGAGACTCGTCAAATAACCCAAAGAAGGAATCGAACAGGGCAGGGCTGTTTAGTAAACGCCCAGGGCCGCTTCGGAACGCCAATGATCGGGGCCGAGCTGGCTCTTCCTCCCTTGACTATGCCGCTTTCTGCTCCTCCATCAAGGGGCCCAGGGACACACATATCAACAGACACAAATCCAGGACTCACAGCATGTCTCATATCCTCGGCGGCGGAAGGCTCCCCTCGGAGGAGGGCTGAGGGGAGGAGGACGGGGAGAGGAATGAGGAGCACGAGCAGGGGGGAGGGGGGGGGAGGAGGACTTACACGCAGCAGCCGTTCAGCTCATGCAGAACAAGCAAACTACGACACACACACATAAACTTCTGGCGCCCCGCGCGGATCTCCTTGATCCGCGCCGGACCCGCCTCGCGCCAGGTGCGGCGCCGGAGGCGCCGCCAGGGGGGCCCAGGCGCGGATGCAAGAAACCCGCGCGGAGCGCCCAAAGTTTTGTTTGCTTTGATTGTCTTCTTGTACTTTTGTTCTTTTGCTGGTCGAGCGCGAAAAATTGAAATGCTGATGTCGTTTTTTCTTCACCGAGTATGCCCGCTCGACGCTCAGACAGCCCTCTTCGCCCCCCCCCCCCCTCGGCGGCGGAGGGCTCCCGCTGCGCCTGCAGCGCTGCCGCCGCGCGGCAGCCCGCTGGCGCCCCCGGCGGCCTGGCGGCCGCCCACGGTGCCCGGCCGACCTCGGCGGCGGCCTCGCGGGCGATGCTCACCTCGCGGAAGGCCCGCCGCCCCGCCGTGACGGCGGCAGCGGCGCCGCCGTCGTGAGGACGACGACGACGGCGCCGATGACGCGGCGACGGCGACGGCGACGGCGACGGCGAAGGGGACGGCGATGACGACGACGGCGGCGGCGACGACGAGGGCGGCGTCACGACGGTGGCGGCCGCCGCATCCATCGTGGCGCCGTGGTCGTGGTCAGTGGTCAATGGACGTGGTCGTGCCGTCGTCGTCGTCCTCCTCCTCCTCCTCCTCCTCAGCCGCGGCGATGGTCACCTCGGAGGGCGTCGCCCGTCGACGGCGCCGATCGTCGCCGAAGGTGGCGTCGTGAACCCTCCTGTACGAAGTACCGATATGATTTTGCTCAGTACAGGCGTCTAGGGTTACGTCGGGCGTCCCTCTACAGGATGAGTACGCAAAAAAAATGATAAACAAAACAACAAAAAGTATGGGGACAATTTTCGGGGCACATGTGTGCTTAAATAGTTGTTAAAATTCTTTGTCGTGCAGGCTAGTAGCGCTGACCCTCAGAGCCTTAAAAACTGAGCTTTGTTGGGTGAACTGCTGTTTGCCACTAATTAGGGCTAAGTCGGCTGCTAGTTGTTCGGTCTGGACGGCCATGCGTTAGGCAGTGGCGCTGCGTCTGCGCCATCATTCGTCGCACCTGCTGCATGTTAGGGAGCATACCTAGGTGGTGAATGAGATGCTTGAGGTCGATCGCCGCGAGTCGAAGTCAATATGACTGACTTTCTGCTGTAGTGCCAATGGTTGCACTTCCACAATATGCTGGAGTTCTCATCCTCATCCTCGTCCTTGTCCTTTTCCATTTCCTCCTCCTTCCTCCTCCTCCTCCTCCTCCTCCTCCTCCTCCTCCTCCTCCTCCTCCTCCCTTCTCCTCCTCCCTTCTCTTCCTCCTCCTCCTCCTCCTCCTCCTCCTTCTCCTCCTCCTCCTCCTCCTCCTCCTCCTCCTCCTCCTCCTCCTCCTCCTCCTCCTCCTCCCCCTCCTCCTCCCCCTCCCCCTTCTCTCACGCGCCCCAGTGCCGAGCCTCGCCTCGCAGGCGAGCTCGCTGTTCTCCCGGCGCTGCTCCTGCATGTGCTGCATCAGCTCCGCCACCCGGCGCTCGACCTGCGGGCCCGGGCGGCGGAGGGGCCGGGGCGGCGGCGTGGCCTCAGGTCGGCGTTCAACGAGGCTGACGAACGAGCAACACACACCCCAAGACGGTCAACGATGGCCTCCAAGACGGTTAGGATGGCCCCGTATGGCCTCCAAGACGGCGAAGATGGCCCCATGATGCCTCCAAGACGGCCCAATATGCACCCAAGACGGCCTAAGATAGCATCTTGATGGTTTCAAGACGGCCGAGAGGCGCCCAAGTGGTTTCCCAGACGGCCCGAGAGGCCTCCAAGAGGTATTACAGGAATGACGAACGAACAACGTACACACCCATACCCATAAGGGGGGTCGTTGAGAGGAGGACTGGCTATGGGTATGGGTGCGGGTTGTCGGACCCTGGGGAACGCTCCCGTTCGAGCGGGGACCCCCATCCGACAACACGCACCCATAGCCCTCTGCGACCCCCCTATGGGTATGGGTGTGTGTTGTTGGTTCGTCAGATGAGGTCCATGATCGAACGCCTGACAAGGCACACGAAGATACATCCAGGTAGGTTTAGGCCGTGCATGTACCCCTGCAGGCGGATTTTGGACGAAACATGAGAAATAGTCACAACATGCTCCAACAGAAATTAAAGATACCCCATGATGAGGTCCATGATAGGTCGGCGTTCAACGATGAGGTCCATGATCGAACACTTTTATGGGGTCTACGACGACGTCCATGATGGGGTCAAGGGGCGGCGCCGGAGGCGCCGCCGGGGGGCCCCAGCGCCGATCCGAGAAATCCGCGCGGACCTCCGAGTTTCTATGTTTATGCCACTTTTTGGTTTTCTAGACAGGGCACACGAAGATACATCCAGGTAGGTTTAGGTCGTGCATGTACCCCTGGAGGCGGATTCTGGACGAAACATGAGAAAGAGTCACAACATGCTCCAACTAAAACAAAAACTCTCCAAACATGTGTTACTTAACTTCGGGCGTGCCCACGCCCGGATTAAAGGTAAATCCAAGTGACCGGAGGTCAGAAATGGGTCTCACGCGAGCCGGCGTGGCGACCTCACGCCGCGGGTTGCGCGGGCCGCCCGCGCGGCGCACCACATTGGGGAACGAGGGCCCCCACGCGGGACCTCCTGCGGGCGGCGTGCGCGCGGATGCCGGCGCAGTCGAACTCGCTGCTCTGCGCCGCTCGGGGACATCCTGGCAACCCCTCGCAGATCCAGAGACCTCCGAAGAAGTTTGGATCCAACGGGAGTCTGGGGAGACCAACATGTAAGGATGCCGCTGCTCCCCATACCTCTCCGGGGTTGCGTTCTCACCAGAATTGCGAAGCGAATCCAGCGGTGGCGACGGGGGCCTCCCAGGAGGCCCCAGAAGGGAGGCAAGGGCAGCGGAATCGGTACCTTTTCCTCCTCTGGTTGACGTCGACCCCCAAAGGTCTCGACTCGTTCCCCGAGACCAGCGTTTCATCATGAGTCGTTATCCGACGGTCCCGAGGCCCAGCGAGGGCCTCCAAAAGCCCAAAACGACCAAACACTCTGTTCAGGGCTCGAGGGGGTCTGCGTAGAGGTCTCTCTTGGGCAAGGGGCCGACAGTCCCGGCATGCCTACAGGCCTTCCACAACATGTCCTTAAAACGATCAAGCGTTTCATAACAAAACGACGGTATTAGAACATCAAGCCGATGTACTCAAACAGGACAGTCTCAGCCAGAAACGTTCTAGGAACATTTCGTGCACACCCCAAAAACGTTCAGAGAACATTCTCTGGTGGGCCTGTAGGCAAGCCTTGACGCTTCGCCACTGCTCGACTCTCATTATGTTGCTCCCATCGTACTTAAAGACCACATCCCAGCAAGAATTCCGCGCCCCCTGCAAGAGTGCCGAAAGAGTGCCGAAACAATGTCTCCCAGGGCCCGAAGGCGGTGCGCGGCGCGCGCGGGCCGGCGCGAGCCCATGGCGGGCGAAGAGGGGCTATGTGCGGGCCTCCGCGGCCTCCGCCTCGCGCGCCCGCAGCGCGGCGGCGCGCCCGGCGCACTCCTGGGGGGGCGGAGAGAGGGGCCCCCACGGCGCAGCACCCCGCAACCGCGGAGAGAACTGAGGGGGGCCTCCTCCTCCTCCTCCTCCTCCTCCTCCTCCTCCTCCTCCTTCCTCCTCCTCTCCTCCTCCTCCTCCTCCTCCTCCTCCTCCTCCTCCTCTTCTTCCTCCTCCTCCCTCCTCCTCCTCCTCCTCCTTCTTCCTCCTCCTCCTCCTCTTCCTCCTCCTCCTCCTCCTCCTCCTCCTCCTCCTCCTCCTCCTCCTCTTCCTCCTCCTCTCTTCCTCCTCCTCCTCCTCCTCCTCCTCCTCTTCCTCCTCCTCCTCCTCCTCCTCCTCCGGGGGTCGGAGGCTGGGTCGCGGGCCGGGTCGCATCGCGCGGCGGGTCGCCGGGGGGACGGCGACGGCGACGGCGACGGCGACGGCGGCGACGGCGACGGCGACGACAACGACGGCGACGGCGACGGCCGCGGCGGCGATAAACAACAACAACAACAACAACAACACCAACAACAACAACAACAACAACAACAACCACAACCACAACCACAACAACAACAACAGCAACAACAACAACACCAACACCAACACCAACAACAACAACAACAACAGCACCAACAACAGCAACAACAACCACAACCACAACCACAACAACAACAACAACAACAGCAACAACAACAACAACAGCAACAACAACAACAACAACAACGACAACAACAACAACCACAACAACAACAACAACACCAACACCAACAACAACAACAACATCACCAACACCAACAACAACAACAGCAACAACAACAACACCAACACCAACAACCACAACCACAACCACAACAACAACAACAACACCAACACCAACAACAACAGCAACAACAACAACCACAACCACAACCACAACAACAACAACAACACCAACACCAACAACAACAACCACAACCACAACCACAACCACAACCACAACCACAACAACAACAACAACAGCACCAACACCAACAACAACAGCAACAACAACAACAACAACAACTACAACAACAACAACAACTACAACAACAACAACACAAGCAACAGCAACACAACAACAACAACAACAACAATCATTTAAGACTGGGGACACTCCGTTCTCACCAGTGCCAGGGTTTTCATAGGAGGCGGGCAATACCCCCACTTTGTGGGGGGGCCGGTTCAAGCTCTACCAAATTTCCAAACGACTCTTCGCCACCACCCACACCCAGCTTCCCGCCCTATGACGTTCGGACACTTCACTTCGTGGCCTGCGGACGACCTTGGCTACTACACTGGCGCATGGGTACAATGACTTGTTGTGGTAACATTTTGCGGGTAGAAATTTGGAAAATCCGTCCACGTGTTTTTCGAGGACCTACGGTGCGATTCGTGCGATTTTATGATACGCGGTGCTGAATGTCTTAAGAAACCCAATGGTATTGGAAGATTTCGGCGTGCGCGCGCGAAGAAAAAACGAATGTGTCCCATATGGTATTATTTGACAGGGATGATGGCCCTGCCATGCGCGCAACCGTTGTTGCAGAAGTTCGAAGCACGTGAAAAAGTTGCTCGCAAGAGCCCGTTTGACAGAAATGTTGAAAAAATATTGCGTTTCCTCAGAAATCCGCAAGAGCGCGCAAGATGAATTTTTGAAACTTTTTTTTGACAAACCATTAGGTTTTTCATGTTTTCTGTTAAAATCGCTACGAAAACTAAGGTTTTGGAAGGATTTCATCTTGCGCGCGCGAGTGTGCACTTCGTGGCATTTTTGCAAAGGATTCTTGAAGTTTGGTTATGTTAGAACAAGAGATTTCATTTTATAGTGTTTTTTGCAAGGGAAAGCGGGCGTCAACAAAACAACCGGATCTGGTATACCCCGTTTTGCCTGAGACTTCCTCACGAAAATGATGAAAATGAGGCTGCGGCCTAGGCGCGGCGGGGGGGTCGTGCACCAGGGGCCCCAACAATAATTATTCTTAAGAAGAAATAGTGTTCAACAACAACCACAACCACAACCACAACCACAACAACAACAACAACAACAACAACAACAACACCAACACCAACAACAACAACAACAACAAACAATTTAGGCCTGTTCGCTCGTATCTGCTCGCGTGCCACACAATATGCATATCCCAAACCTTCGATACCCACCCTCTTCGTCTTCGATCGCACCCCTTCGAGCTCATGTCTTCCTTACCTGCCACGTGTAGTTGGCGCATCTCCACAAAGAAAGAGAACGAGAGGGGGGAAAGGACAAAGGGGGGGGGAGACGGATGGAGCACGAGAGAAATGAGCAGGAGGATGGTCAGGAGCAGGAGAACAGGCGGCTGAACCCGACAAGTGGACTCTTTGTGGCGAAGATCCCCGCCCGCCTCTCGAACGATGTCTCCACCACCACCACACCACCACCACCCCCACTACCATCACCACCACCTCCCCAACCCACCACCACCACCAACCCACCACACAACCACCACCACCACCACGACAGCCACCACCACCACCACAACCACCATCACCACAACTCACCATCACCACCACCACCACCGCATCAACACACCACCACCACCACCACCACCACCACCAATTTACCACTCCACCACCACCACCGCCACAACCACCACCACTACCAGCAGCACAACCCACCGCCACCACCACAAACCACCACACCACCACCACCGCCGCCACCACCACCACCACAACCACCACCTCCACAAACCACCGCCACCACCACAACCCTCACCACCACCACAAACCACCACTACACCATAACCAAACCACCACCACCACAACCCACCACCAACACCACCACCACCACCACAAACCACCACCACACCAGCACCACATCACCACCACCACCCACCGCCACGACCACCACCACCTTCACCACCAACCACCACACCACCACCATCACAACCAACACCACCGCCACCACGACAACCCACCACCACCACCACCATCACCGTCGTCCGCGTCGACGCTCCCCGCCGCCGCCGCCCGCCGCCGCAAGCGCCAGCGCAGGCCCAGAAAAGGAAATCGTCGGCCCCGCCGGCGCCGCCAGCCGCCCGCCGACGCAGGCGCTGGCCCGAGGAGAGAGGAGAGGGAGGGAGGGGAGGGGGGGGGGTTTGAACCCCCTCCCCCTTCGTCACGGGAAGGGGGGGAGGTTCGAACCCCCCCCCTCCATCCAAAGGGGGGGGGGGTCCAGTTCCACCCCCCCCCCCTCCAAGCGACCACAGCACGCGCTCTTTCTTATATGCACATCTGTCTCGTTTGACAAAACGGTGTCTTGGTAACGCCAGGTTTGGGCTTGACCCGTCTGGCAATCTCCCTAGTGCTTCGATGGAACGCTCGACTGCGAAGGAATGCGTCCCAGCAGCGGTGTCAACCTGGAAAACATCGAAAGCGAAATCGATGCTCACGGGATGAATTCCAAAAGAACTTTTTTACAAGCCCGCCCAAAACGAGCGTGCAAGAGCGCCGTCAAACCTTTCATCATGAAAACGTACTGGGCCATCGACGCTGCCAAAAGAACGCAGCTGTCCACCCACAAAACGGCCGGCACAACCAGATCTGAGGTTTTCAACCGAAACCCGTAGCCTGGCATTTCCCATATAGGGAACATGTGCATGAGGCATTCCTCGAACATCCGTACAAAGATCGATTTGCCCTCCGGTGCGCAAAGACTTGGTCATGCCCAGCGGTATTGTCGAAGCTACCCCGGGGATCACAATCTGGACGGTATTCGAAGACACTTCCCTCGCAGTGGCCAACATCTGGTGGGAGTTGCGCGTGCATCCGCATAGTTGTCCAGCACATCACGATGGCGTACTGAATCGAAAGCCGTACGAACATCCTGGCATCCCAACACAAGATGACAATCCTCCCACCGGCGCGCATTGTTAGGACATTCGAAAAAGGACCACGAAACAGACCCGAGCCCTTGCCCGGGCCCGTTTTCGTCCGCCACGTCCCGAAGTCATTGCACCCTGCTGCATGCAGTAGGGCAGGCGACCAGAGAAAGACTTTACCTCTCGCCGCCGACCCATCTGCGCCAGACCCACCACTCTCGGGAGCGGCAAAGAGGGGGGTGTCCAAGAGGGGGGGGCGCAAATCATGACCGGCGGCATGTGCGCGGCCCAGCGGGGGGACCAGGGCCGTAGTAAAAGAAGAAGAGGCACCATGAAACCTGGGGAGATATCATGGCCCCCGCCATGCTATCCACCCCCCCCCTAGTCATCACCCCCCTCTTTTCCGCTCCCGACACTCTCGTCCAGCCTGGGAGATCGCCATGCGATCCGGACTCTGTGCCCGCAGCGCGAGAAGCTCTGGCACGGGCGCTTCCGCGCCCGCGAGGCGTCGGCGGCGGCGCTGAGGCCGGCGAGCGGCCGCGTCCTCCGCGGCCTCCGCCTGGCCCAGCTCGGCCCTCGCGGCACGGTCCGCGTCCTCGGAGCGGCCCTCCGCCGACGCCGCCGCCGCCGTCGCTCGCGTCGTGGTCGTCGTCGACGTCGTCCTCGTTGCCGACGGCCACGCGGTCGGCGCCGTCTGCGTCGACGTCGCTGTCCTCGCGGCACCGGATGCCGTTGTGGTCGGCGATGGCGGCGTCGTCGGCGCTGTCGTCGTGGTCGCCGTCCCTGTCGTAGGCGTCCTCGTCGGCGTCGTCGTGGTCGTCGTCGGCGACGCTTGCGTCGTTGCCCTCGAAATCGCTGTCGTGCATGTCCGCATTATCGAAAACGCCGTCGTCATCATCGTGGTCGCGGTCATCGGCGGCGTAACCAGCGTGGTCGTCGTCGTTGAGGGCGTCGGCGTCGCCGCCGTTGTCGTAGTCGGCGTCGTGGTCGTCGTCGCTGGCGCCCTTAGCACTGTCGCTGGAGTGGACTGGCATAGACTGGACTAGACTGGACTGGACTCTACTCAACTCAACTCAACTCTACTCTACACGACTCGACTCTGCTCCACAATCTACTCCTATGCTGTACTTTGTTCTGCTCAACTCGGCCCTACACTACCCGAACCTAACCCACTCTACACCATTCGACTTCACTCTACTCTGCTCTGCTCTACTCCACGCCTACTCTATTCTACTCTACTCTACTCCTACTCCGCTCTGCTTCACTCTGCACTACTCTTCTCTACTCGCCTCTTCTCTGCTCTGTTCCTACTCTGCACCACTCTGCGCGCCGCTGCCACCGACTCGGACCAGAGGGGAAGACAACTGTGCAGTCGGCTATCTCAGGACCGCGTTTGTGCGAGGGGCCTCTGCTACCAAAATTATCCTCCTTCTCCTCCTCCTCGTCCTCGTCCTCCTCCTCCCCCCGACCATGCTGCCAGCTCTTGGAAAAAAAAGCAAACGCCGCCGCAACCAAACACACGCGGTGCCTATCAATGCAGTGTTGCTCCCTCGGACACACCAAATAAAAAGACTCTACCGTATACTCTTCGCGATTCTACACGGCTCGTCTCTACCATGCAACCTACCCTACTCAACTCTGTTTGATTTTGTCGTACCCTACTCTTCCCTACCCTACCCTGACCTAACCTACTCTACTCCTACTTTACTATGCTTGAATCGACTCTAGCCGTCTCTGCTCAATTCTACTCTACTCTGCTACATTATGATCTACTCGACTCATCTACTCTGCTCTACTCGACTCTGCTCTAGTGTTCTCCACTTCTCAGTTTGTGGGACGCCAGTGGAATAGCCACAAGGAGCCATTAGAACACCAGAGGAGGCCATGAGGAGATAGACGAAACCATGCGGTTATCAACGGAAGTCCTGCGGATACAGAGGACGCCGTGCGGACGGCAGATGAAGCCATGCAGATCCAGAGGAATCCATGCGGGTAGTTTCAATAATTGACGGGCGAGTGTGGGACGCCATTGGAATATCCACAAGGGGCCACTGGAATAGCAGAATGAACTGTGCGGATAGCAGTGGAAGCCATGCGGAGGCAGAGGAAACCATGCAGATAGCAGAGGACACCATGCGGATACTGAGGAAGCCATGAGGATAATTTGACGAGTGCAAGGCCAAAATAGGGAGGAGTGGACCAGTTCTCTCGTTTCTATATATATATATGTATATGTATTGAACTAAAGACGCTTGTAAGCAAACCGAATTGAAGAACCTTGTCGTGGGGGCATCCGTTGGCAAGCGAGCTTCGACTTTGCCCCACAGTATGCTCGGCTTCAGCATCCGTTCCGCTCCCCGCCTTCTACAACACTATAGGGCACGACGGAGAGGGGGGGGGGACCTCGACGTGGCCTAGGCGCCGCAGGGCCGACACGTCGGCGACAGGACCCCGGCAGCGACCCTGCATGCTCCCGGGCGAGGTGGTGCACCCGAGCCCCGATCGGCGAGGACTGCGCAGTGGGAGCCGCTGGCTCCCCCCCTGGGCCAGTCTCCGCCTGCCGCTGCTCCCGGTGCACCTCTGGCCCTCTGAGGGCCACGGGAACGGCAGGGCCGTTCTCTGAGCACTATCTTAGATCAGGGGGACGTAAGACCTGGGTACACGGGACTCGGAAATCCCCGACGAGGTCGTCAAAAAAATGACGAGGCCGAGCCTGCATTTTGACGAGGCCTCCCGCTGCAGACATTCCACGAAACTCCTCCTCGTCAAAATCCGAGGCGCGGTCGTCAAGAAACGATGGCGAACCCGAGACCTGGCAAACCTGGGTCTTACGCTCCCCCGATTATAGAAATACAAACTATACACCAACACCGATCCTGTCCAGGATCACCCTGGGTCCAGGATCGGAGTATACGCCCTCCTGTCTTGCGCAGAATGCATATACACCGATTTTGGGCCTGGGATCGGCCTGGCCAGGATCGGTGTAGGTGTATAGTAGGTGCCCTCCGATCTTAGGTGGAGGGCTCAAGGTGAAATCCACATGGGCTTTTGCGCCTCGAGGATCGATGCGTCTTGTGATTCCCCTTGTGCAGATTCCCTCGGAAACCCATCGAAACGGCATTTCAGATTTCACCCCTTGCCCTTCACCCAAAGAAAATGCTCGGGTTCTGTCACCGTTTCCGAAAAAATGTCCCTTGAAAGTGGAAACGGCAACAAAAACGGCGACCGGAAACGGCAACAAAAACGGCTCCAGGATTGGACCCGGAGCCGGAGCCGGTCAAACAACGGCGACGGAACCGGTGCAAAAGCAGCGTCGGAACCGACAGCAAGAACGGCAAAGCGGAACCGGCACAAAAACGGCCCTGTCGTTTCCAGGGCCCACTGAGCTCTGGCCCGCCCCACCCCCTGCCTTCCCCTCCCCGTAAAGACTGTATAACTCTGTCCCACCGAAGGCAGGCCGAGACTTTCAGGTCACGCTGCAGCGTGCTCATCAACGATGGCAGCAGGGGGCGGCTGACAGCGCAAGGGGGGAGGGCGTATACTGCGTGCGCTCCCCTGCCTCCTCCTCCCTCTGTCTGGACCCCCTCTCCTGCTCGCCCACCCGCCCCCTCCGACGGCGACAGTGGGGCGACATGCCATGCGACTCGCCCCCCGACCTCGTCTGGGGCGCGCTGTGACCAGAAGATGTTGAAGCGAATCTCGCCGTGGCCGCGAAGGCGCCCCTAGCAGCTCCAGGCGGGGGCGATACATGCCATACAGCCTTAATCCTTGGACCTTGAAGAACAATCGATGACGACGACGACGAAGACGACGACGACAAAGACGACGACGACGACCGCGAGAACGACGACGACAAAACGACGGCGAGGACGACGACGACGACGACTGCCATCACCCCCACTACTCCCAGACCTGTCCTGGGCGAATCGAGCGAGCTGCGTCCAACAGCGATCGGAAACCTTGATCCTCGATTTGGCACGTCCGCAATGGGCAAAGGAAATGTGGGCATGACTCCCAACAGCACATGTTGCCCTCAAGCGACAGCGGCCGATGTGGGGCAAGCGACCTTTTGTCAAATGGGCAGCGCATGCGGCGACATAGACAACAAACCCTGGTCAGAACGGGCAGGCACCGCTATGTTGATAGATTACGCTATTCGCATAGAAAAAGCGGACATGGACTGGTGCCTGTATTCGTCCCCATTCTGTCCGTGCCCACTTCGGACCTCCGTAACGGGATCCCTGAAGACGGGGTCGGAGGGTCGCGCCACATCGTCGATACATAGGCGACGCTACATCGGCGACGTCGGTGCAGAAAAAACTGGCTCCATATCGAGCCGCATCGGCGATGCATTGGCGATGCGGCGCTATCCACCGACCTAATCTACTATGACCCTATATGTTAGGAAGCAAGCCCTGGGAGGTCTTCGTAATAACGATGTAGGGCAATCAAATCCGATAACAAAAAACGCATAACCTGGATGAATACGGATTGGGCCAAAGATTAGCCGTATCGAACAGGAATGAACAGGATACATAAAACCAGACTTCGCCAAATTAGGCCGGTTTTCGACCGCGGATATAATGCCAGCGCCGACTCTGAATCGAACCTCCTCGGAGTGGCATCGAAATATCTGGGAGACCAGACATGCGGCTGCTCAAATTTCTCGATGCGTGCGCCCCGGAGGTCTAAACCACTTCCCTACAGGACGGTCCCCGGTGAGGGCCCCCGGAGGCCGAAAACGGCCAAAAACCGCCCGCCCTAACTCTTCTGGAGCGTTGGATCTCGTCGGGGGCGCACACACATGGATCAGCGATCCATGGATTTGGCGCGCGGCGTCGCCAAATCCATGGATCGGGGGAGCTGCTCTCCCACAAACGCGGCGCCAGTGCCGCCCCGCTCGGCGGCGGAACTCCGCGACTTCCCATGGAAACGAGCCCCGTCGCTGATCCACGCCCCCTTGATCCGTGTTTCGGGGATGGACAGACCTCCCTTTAGTAAAACGTGGTTTAGTGAAAACGACCTGAGGCCCAAACCTGGCGGGCGCAGGACTGGAAAATAACGGCCACGGCGCCCTCTCGAGAACCGAAAACGGACAATTCACTAATCGACGTGTCACTGTTGGGGGTTCTGTCCACCCCCGAATGTTCGCGATCGCCTGATCTCTGGGACGGGGAGCGGCGGCGAAGGCCACGCCGCGGCCGCCCCCGGCCACGCCTGCTGCCGCAGCTGCTCGGCCTCGCCCACCAGTCCGTCCAGGCGCGCCAGCAGCCTGGGCACGGGCGGCCGCGGCGACGGCGGGGGCCCGGGGAAGGGGGCCAGACTAGGGAACCAAGGGAAACAAACAATTATCCCAGTGCGACCCTACCTAGGAGTTGGAGGATCTAGGAAAGCAACATCTAACATCTATATGAAGCTAAGCTAAGCTAAGATGAAGCTAAGCTAAGATGAAGGTAAGCTGAACTAAGATGAGATGAGCAACGCGAAGCCAAGGGAACGTCACTGGGAGAACCGCGGGGCGGATGCCGGGGGAACCGCCCGGGGCGGGCCCCACTGCCCGGCCCTTTTAGCCTCCGAGTAAGAACCCTTCTAGGCAGAGCCTAGGTAGGGAATAACATGAACACAAAGACTCGGAGGTCCGCGCGGATTTCTCGGATCGGCGTTGGACCCCCCTCCTGGGCGCGCGGAGCGCGCCAGGGGCGGAGCCGGAGGCGCCGCCGGGTGGCTCCAGCGCCGATCCGAGAACTCCGTGCGGACCTCCGACTTGTCATGTTATGTCAGTGTTCGTTCCCCTGCAAGCTGCCCCCCTCCATGCCCCGGCATCCCCACCCCTTGGAGCCTCTGTTTTTGGGACCCCCCAACCCACGAATTCTCGCCCAAACTCGACCAACACCCCCCTCCATGCTCCCCTCCATGCCCCTGCATCCCCACCCCTTGGAGCCTCTGTTTTTGGGGCCCCCCACCCCACGAAAGCTCGCCCAAACTCGACCAACACCCCCCTCCATGCGCGCGGGGGTAGCCAAGGGGATAGGGGGTTATCGTTGGATGCCAACCCGGGCACCCGACGCTCCGCAAACATTCGAGCGGGCGGTCCTTGGCCCGTCTTCGGCCTCCGGGGGCCCTCGCCGGGCCCTGGGACCGTGAAACAGCGATTCGGGGCGCAAAACCAATCCCACAGGGAGGTGGTCCAGACCTCGGGGGCGCACGCTTCGATTAAAAAGTGGAGCGGCTGGGCGTCTGGGAAGCTGGGCGACCTCCCCCAGGCTACTTGTGGCATCCGTGACCCACCTCTAAGCTGGGCTAGGACAGATATTACTACCCCCCCCCCGGCATCCACTCATGAGCCCCAGCATCCCCTGAGCAACCTCCGCGCCGATCCCAGCAGACCCCTATCGCGTCGTGAACAACTAACGACGCACACGCCCGGCACTGGAAACTTCAACTGGACAGTCCACAGCCGGACGATTGCCACTTGCACTGCTGTGTTCATGCCGCGACTACCACCAGTACTGCTAGTGTGAAGGGGCCCCAGGACACACAAATAAATACACACAAATAAAAAGATTCCTATATTTTCTTATATTTCCTAGGTTTTTGTCTTCCCCACCACTTCCCATATTTTCCATATTTTCTGGGGGATCGACGATGAATTGTGTCTGTGTGTTCGTTTCCCTCCTGCCAGTGCTGCTGCCGCCGCTACAGTCTTGCACCAAACACAACGTCGCTACGCACACCCTCTGCGTGTCGACTGGCGTCGCTACGCACGCCCTCGCAAACCCTGAAAGCAACTGTTCTCACCACTACAGTGTGGACAAGTTTCGAACACGAGGAGGAAGGGGGAGGAGGGGAGGAGGAGGAGGAGGAGGAGGAGGAGGAGGAGGAGGAGGAGGAGGAGGAGGAGGAGGAGGAGGAGGAGGAGGAGGAGGAGGGGAGGAGGAGGAGGGAGGAGGGGAGGGGGAGGAGGAGGAGGAGGAGGAGGAGGAGGAGGAGGAGGAGGAGGGAGGAGGAGGAGGAGGAGGAGGAGGGAGGAGGAGGAGGAGGAGGAGGAGGAGGAGGAGGAGGAGCATGAGCAGGAGGAGGCGGAGGGGAGGAGGAGGAGGAGGAGGAGGAGGAGGAGGAGGAGCAGGAGGAGGAGCAAGAGGAGGGGAGGAGGACCCCCCTCAGGCCTGGTGCGCCCAGGCCGCAGCTCGCGCTCGCGAAGGCCGAGGGCGGCAAGCTCCCGGCGGCGGCCGGCGGCGGCGTCCTCCTGGCGGCCGCCGCGCGAGGCGGGATCTGGCCGTTCGGCGGCGAGCGAGGGTTGGAGTCCTAGAAATTGGCACCAACACCAACACAGTGGTGTGCCTCCACATTGGGAAGATGATCCTACATTTCGGTGCTGGTTGGAATGACTCGGTCACCTTGGAAGCCAGAATATTACCACCATCACCGAGATCTGGATTTTCTTCCCTCGATGGAAGCACACCGCCGATATTGGTGTTGGTGTCAACCTCTAGGCCTGCGAGAGGGGGGGGAAGTGAGAAGGAGAAGCGGGTCGGGCGAAAGGGGGGGATAGCAAAGGGGGGTTTGAGAGTCAGCTCACGCAGCTGCTTTTCCCGGCGCCTCCCGGCGCCGGAGGCGGCTATGTATCGAGGAAGGGGCCCCTCGGCGAGGCCGAAACCAGCTGCATGCAGCAAATTTGGTAACCCCCCCATTTCCCAATCCCCCCCTTTCGTCCGGCCCGAGAGAAGGCCTTCTCAGAAGGCTCGGAAGTCCCCCAGCCTTCCGAGAGAAGTCTTCTAAGGATTCTAAGCCTCCCCCGAAGACGGACAAAAACCTTCTCAGAAGGCGCGAGGGCTCCTGAGAAGTCCCGCCGCCTTCGCAGAAAGCCTTCTCCCTCATATTCCTCCCCCTCGCTCGCCGCCGATCCGTACCCACGGCCTGGGGACCGACCCGAATCTACCCATATGCACCGCCTGCGGCGGCCCGGGACGATCGATCCACCGGGCGGTGGTGCTGGATAAATCCCCGCCTCGGACGCAAGGGAGGGGCCGCTGCGCTGGGATCTGCACGGGGGGTTCCGAGGGGATTAAGGGGTTACAGTCATCGGCCTGACCTAAGGAACGAAAAATAGGGAACGAAGCCCCTTCTTATCCCAAGGAATAACGCATAAGGAACGATACATGACAACTAACGCAGAAGGAACTGTAAAGAACGCATGCAAGCCTAAGGAACGACCGAGCCCCTTTTGAAAAGTAAGTGTTCCTTATTCAAGCCGCTCACTGTATCAGTGGATGCCAGGGTGGGCAATATCGGGCCTAACCTGGCGCAGGCGTGGGTTACTCATGCCCACATCGCTTGGGGAGGATCCCGGATGAGTGGGCTCCGCCCACCTACCGGAGTCGCCTGCCAGCCCCATAGCCACCTGGGGCACTTGTAGCCCACTTCTGGGCTGGACCGGGCCCCCCGTACACCCTGCGAAATGCTTCAGAGATCATGGGTTAAGAAAGTCATAGTCTCAGACTTTGAATAAAAGCCGAGAACTTCGATGAACAACTTCGGATTTTTATTGCAACATTACGAATCATCGAGGCCCTGGCCGAAAACTTACGTCTTCTCAAGCATCGCCCACTGGTGTATCCCCCTCTGCAGCTCCCGCGCCGATCCCAGCAGGTTCTGCAGGCTGCATGGCTCCCAGACCTCCGACGCTGAAGGGGCCCTGGGACACACAAATGAATCCACACAAATAAAAGGATGCCCCACATCTTCCCATATTTTCTGGGTTTCTGTCTTCCCCCCACTGCCGATCTTTTTGTCCCATGTTTTTTTTGGGGAGTCGACGATCAATTGTGTCTGTGTGTTTCTTCCCTCCTGAAGCGCACTGAACAAGAAGGATGCGGAACTTCGTCGTCGTTTCCGGCGCCTGGGGGGCCTCGCCGGGCCCTGGGGCCGCCAAGAAACACTCCAGGACAACTGTGCCGGCTCGAAAACGAATACGGAACGACCTATGGTTTGGCGCTCCCGTCGCGATTTTGTCCACGATGTCTCAATTGTTTCACCCTGTCGCATCACACGGTGCTCCTACGATGCTTCGGCTTGAACTTGCCTGCGTGGAGGGAGAGAGAAGAGGGGAGGGGGAAGAGGGGAGGGGCACGGAGATGTTAAGGGGGAATGGCCCAGGGAAAACGCGTGGACCCGGAAAAACGGCGACACACCGCCGAACGATCGACGACAGGCCGCCGATGGCGAGTCCGCCCGCTCCTGGGCGGGGCGGCCCACCAGGGCCCCATCGGCGCCGAGTGGGAGAGCTTGGGGTCGCTGCGTCCCCGCCCGAGCCTCTTCCCCCCGCCCCGTCGGGTTACCAGCCTCGAACGCATCCCTACCCCTAAGATTGGCACGCCAAAAGGCGCTGACAATCTCAGGGATCCGCCCTCAAAAAAAAAAGGGAATCCCTAAGATTGGCGTCGTGACGAGGAGATGCCCGGCATAGGGATAGGGATATGCTCCAGGCTGGCAGTCGGGGGGCCCCGGATCAGAAGTCGAGCCTCGGCCCCCGGACCTCCCCGGGGCGCGCGCTCGGACCAGAGGCCCCGAGGCGGAGCCAGCCGTGGCCACGAGGGCCCCACGAGGGACGGCCAGCAAAACACCGCCCGAAGCAGCAGGCCTCGAGCCTCGAGCCTCGAGCCTCGAGCCTCGAGCCTCGAAGCCCCCCTGGACGTCGCTCCCGAAGACCGCGCCCGAGCTAGAGGGCAAACCAGCCACCCCCACAGTAGCCACCCCGACGCGCGAAGTCGTTCCGGAAACGCGCCCCAGGAAGGAATGGAACAGGGCAGGGCTGCTCAGTAAACGCCCGAGGCCGTTGGAATAATCGGGGATCTTCTGACCCGGGTCAATCCAGAACTGGGTCAGCAGGAAAGCAAAAACTGCAAAGCAAGAAAAAAAAAGCTGCAACGCAGATCTTCGCAAACCCGGGTCAGCCAATCTGCGCGGCCGCCTCGCGGCCACGAGCGGCTCGCCAACCCGGGTCCGCCAGAGGCTTCGCAGCATCCTGCAGGATCCCGTGCCCTGGCGGACCACCGTCTGCATGGACCCCCGTCTCGAGGCTCCCACTGGCCATCGCTCGGACGTCCATTCCCTGTGCTTTTGTTCGGGTTCGTGCGTGGTTTTTTCGCCAAAGGATCAGGGATGCCCCTCGAGGGCCCTCGCCGAGCAAAAATGCACACGTCCGAGCGATGCCAGGCCCAAAGGAAACGCCAATGGCCCGATCCGGGTGGCGTCTCCTCCCTCGAGGAGGAGGAGGAGGAGGAGGAGGAGGAGGAGGAGGAGGAGGAGGAGGAGGAGGACGAGGAGGAGGAGGAGGAGGAGGAGGAGGAGGAGGAGGAGGAGGAGGAGGAGGGGCGCGCGGGGCGGCGGGCGGAGACGCCGCTCGGCGGCGCGCGGGCCCCCCGCACGCCCCGAGGCCCCTGCGACGGGCGGCCCCCGGGCCCATGGGGCCGCCCCCGCTGCGATCGGCGCGGGGGCTGCCGAGTTGAGCGGGGACCGACTTTCCCGGCCGATAGGCCTCCTACGACGTGTTCTCAGAACCCCATCAACAAATACATATTACTGCACACAGAAACAATGCTCTTAGAACATAGGCCCAATGTGATGAAACAAGACAGTCCCAGCCAGAACAAGTGTTCTAGGAACATGTCGTGGAAGCCACAACATATGTTCTTAGAACACTGTGTGGCAGGCCTACAGGCACGCCAGGACGCTTCGCCACTGCTTGACTGAGGGGACAAGGGGGGCTCATTTGTGGATGCCAGGGTGGGTCGTCCGCCAGCCCCGCGGCGTGTGCGAGGGGCTTCGCCCTCCTTGCCCTCGTCGTCGTCGTCGCCGCCAGTCCCAAAGAAATGAAGCAACAATGAAAAGAAACGTGGTAACTCTGTCGACTCCCTCCCGTTCTTCCCCTCCCTGACGGGGGTGGGTGGGCCCAGGGGGGGGTCCCGAGTCAGAATACCACCTCGGGGACGGACATAACCCCCTTTAGTAAAACGTGGTCTAGTGATAACGACCTCGGGCTCAGACCTGGCGGGTGCAAGCCTGGAAAGTGACGGCCGCGGCGCCCTCTCAAGAGTCGAGAACGGACAATTCACTAATCGACGTGTCAGGTTGGGGGCTCCGTCCACCCCTGATCATCCAGATACAGTCGGGGCGTTGGCCCCTGTTTCCCTTAACTTAAACTTCGATCCCCCATGGAAAACCTAAGAAAAACCCAAGGCAAACTGTAAAACAATCAAGGAACACCGAGCTCCACCCCAACGAAAATTGTTTCTCAGTCAGCGCCCCGACTGTACAACCAACCTTGGCATCAGCGGATAGCACCCCCAAAAGCCCCTCAGCAGTCCCCGCGCCGATCCCAGCGGAGGCCGGAGCCCGAAGCGGCCAACAAACACCTGGAGGACCCCCTTCGAGCGTGTTTTCGATCCGACTCTGGCAAGCTTGCTTGCGTGGAGGGGGGTGCTGGGATCGGCGCGGGGGAGGGCGGCTTTCAGTTCATGCCTCAAGTAGCCCAGGAGGGCTAGATAAATCCGATGTGGGCCGAGCCCACTTCGCCCGGATCGCTTACCCCCCTCAGCCACGTGGGGCACGATAGCAGACTTAAAAGCTAGGTCAGGCCAGATTAAACCCATCTTGGCATCAACTAACAACCTCCCAAATCAAACTAGCCCTTTGAGCTACGGTGGTCTAACGAAATCTTGCCTCTTCCAAACGCCTTTTCCTTTCGGGAAGGTTTACCTCCCCACACGCTCTCTGGCTTTTAGGGGGCGCGATCGGTCAGAGCGCCCAAGATGGTCCAAACTGGCTCCAAGCAGGCCTCCGATACTCAAAGATGACCTCCAAAATTGGTCAAGAAAGCCGGCGATGTTTCAAGACAACTTCCGACATACCTCCAAGAGTCCCAACGAGGGCCACAAGATGGTTCCAAGTGCTGTCCGAGCCCCCTCAGAACCCCCCAAGAGGAAACCTAAGGAACATCGGATATGTGCATTTACTCGCCGTTTCGCTTCTGCTCCAAGAGCGCCCAAGAGGGTCCCAAGAGCGCCCCAAGAGGCGATTTTGATTGATGGCCCCAGGGGGGAGCAAACATTGAGGACCCCCCCTCTTTTGATCGATAGCATTCAAGATGGCACCAAGAGGCCCTCCAGAGCCCTCAGGGGACCCCCAATTGGTTGCAAAAATGCCCTAAGACCACCCAATAGAGCCCCATTAGGAACCCGAGATCCGCCAAAAGAGTCACAAGATAGCTTCAAAAGGCAATTTTGAGGGCTCTGTCCTCATCCTCTTTGTCATCCTCCCCCTCCTCGTCCTCGTTCTCGTCCTTGCCCTCATCATATTCCTTTTCCTTTTCCTCCTCTTCCACTTCTTCCTCGTCGTCGTGGTGGTGGTGGTCGTCGTCGTCGTCGTCCTCCACCTCCACCTCCACCTCCACCTCCACCTCCTCCTCCTCCTCCTCCTCCTCCTCCTCCTCCTCCTCCTCTTCCCCGGCCAAGAGGCCCGAGGCCCGAAGAGGTCCTGTCAGGCCACCTTCTCGCTCCCAGAGATATTTCTGTTCACCCTGGTTGCCCGCTTTGTTTCACTACGTGTGTCCCTTCGTCACTTTCCCCGTCAACTTTCATGGGCAGGGTTTGGGGATGGACTGGTGTAGATACGGGAAGCGCGAAAAATTATCCCCCTCGCAACTCCCACGCCGATCCCAGCGGAGGCCTGAAACAACCAGAAACCTGCATGACCAGAAACCTGCATGACCCGAATCAACACCACGAGAGCAAACGGCGCCGCAACCCGCAATTGTGAAACGTAAGCGGTAACCAAACCTGCCCGGTCGTCTCCAGAGCCCACCAGTGGTCGGGGGCGCCACGGCGGGCCCATTACAAGCAGAGCTGGACATCACAGAATTCAGCAACTCTTTGCACGATCTCTCGGCCCACTGCTGACCTGGCACTCCTGCTCCTTCCCAGGCGTTATGTTATCGTTCTGGCACGTTCGAGGATAACGAGCCGCAGCAACCAATGTGCTCAAAACCAGTCCTTCGATCTGCCACCGCGTCATGACAGGACGCACGGTTTACATGAGGTGAACTGGCCGAACGTAAAGGCGGCGAGAGTGTGTGTGTGGGGGGGGGACGCGACATGCAACGCAAGTCGACTTGTCAGAGATCGAGAACACAAGTGCTAGCCGAACCCATGTTGTGGACAAACATGTGGTGTAAACTATGGCGTGTAAGCTGTGTGTGGCGCGAGCTGCGTGGTGTAACCGGTGGTGTGTAAGCGAACGATGTGGTGTAAGCAGGGATGCGCGAGCTGCAGGTGGTGTGAGCAGCGTGGTGTGAGCTACGCTGGGTGAACGACGTGGCGTGAGCCATGCGGCAATGGCTGCGCGGTGCGAGACACGTGGCGTGGGCTATGTTGTGTCAGCTATGCTGTCAGGAGGAGGGGGATGGAGGGGGAGGAGGAGGAGGAGGAGGAGGAGGAGGAGGAGGAGGAGGAGGAGGAGTACAGTACAGTACTCAAGCCCTTCAAGACCATCCTCTGACTGTTGTACTCTAGCTCGGGCTGGGGCTCGATAGACATTGATACGCCACCCATTTCATCATTCGCCTAACAAGGCAACCATGGAGGAAAAGGAGGGAGAGGAGGGAGAGGAGGAGGAGGAGGAGGAGGAGGAGGAGGAGGAGGAGGAGGGAGATGAGGAGGAGGAGGAGGAGGAGGAGGGAGAGGAGGGAGAGGAGGGAGAGGAGGAGGAGGAGGAGGAGGAGGACGAAAAGGATGTAAGCCATGTTGCGTAAGCCTTGCCGTGGAACGCTGCGCTGCACAAACGCACGGGGCACCCCCGCGGCGCCCACGAGCGGCGACACCTCGGGGGGCCCACTCGTGGCAGGGGGCGCCCGCGAAGCGCCCATGCACGGGGCGCCAACGTGGCGAAAGCCCGGGCGACCCGTGCAAGTCCTCCTCCCCCCTCCTCCTCCTCCTCCTCCCCCCTCCCCCTCCTCCTCCTCCCTCCTCCTCCTCCTCCGCCCCCTCCTCCTGACGTGGCGAAAGCCCGGGCGAAAGCCCGGAACCGACGCATTTCATGACCTTAGAACGAAGGCACCGTGCGGGAGACGCGTCGCTTCCCCAAGACCCGCTCTCGGGGATCTACTGCCAATCGGGCCTGGCAGGATCCTGCAAGATCCTGCGCGCCTGCCCGGGTCAACGCACCCCCGCTCTGCATGATCCTGCGAGATCCAACGCTCTGGCTGACCCCCGTTTGCATGGACCCCCGTCTCAAGGCTCCCGACGTTCCGCGAGGCACGATCAACTCCGCAGATCGCGTCCCGCAGATCACTCGGGGGCGCGCAAACATGGATTAGCGATCCATGGATTTGGCGCGCAGTCACCAAATCCTTGGATCGGGGGCAGAACCCTCCCCAAAATGCGGCCGATGCCGCCTCGTTCGGCGGCAGGAATCCGCAATGTCCCACGGAAACGGGACCCGTCGCTGATCCACGCCCCTTGATCCATGTTTGCGATCGCCTGAGATCAACTCCGCAGATCGCGCCCCGCAGATCTTTTATGTCGGCGGTGGACGAACCTCCCTGTAGTAAACCAGCCTTTGATTAAAAAAACTGCCTGGGACCGAAACCGACGGACCTGGGCCCGCAGAAATGACGACCGCGACGCCGTCTCGCGAACCGAAAACGGCCTGTTCGCTAATCGACGTGTCAGGGTAGGAGGTCCGTCCACCCCCGAGTATCTTGCCGTCGCTCGGACGTCCATTTCCCGTGCATTGTTCGGTTTCGTGCGTGTTTTCTTTTCGCTCGATGTTCTAAGATGTTCCTCAAGGGACCTCGCCGAGAAAAAAAACACGCACGTCCGAGCGATGCCAAGTTTTGAGGCTCTCCGACGCCACACACACACACACACACACACACACAAACACACACACACACCGCGCCCCGCGGTGCGCGCTCACCTCCGCGCCAGCGTGCCTCCGCGCCGCCCTCGCGGCCAGCAGCTCTGCCCCCCGGGGCTCCGGGGGCGCGGGAGCCGCTGCCCGCGACGCGCCGCCCTGGCGCGGCTACCAGCGCAGTTTTGCTTCTTCGGGGGGGCTCATGAGGCGGGGCTCTGGGGCAGAGGTGGGCCTCAGAGGGGCTCAGAGGGGGGCTTTCGGGGGGGCTCGGAGGTGGGGCTGTGGGGCAGAGGTGAGGCTCTGAGAGAGGATCGCCCCACACGGCCCCTGGAATCCAGGGAAGCGCGTCCAACGGGAGCAGCCAGCCGGGCGGGTTCCCCAGCCCCGCCTCGGGAGGACCCTCTCTTGAGGAGCCCCCGATGCTGGAAGCGGCGCCAGGTCTGCGGACACGGGCGAGGGAGCCGCACGCCGACGCGCTCCCAACGGCGGAGTGTCATTGCCACGCCTGCTCTGAGGGGCAGCGCTCAGGAGGGGGGGGGGCTGGCTCAGGGGGGGGGGCATACCGACCTGGAATCGGCGATACGTCTCCGACTGATCAGAGGCAGGCCCCCGATAGCGAATCTTCTTGTTCCTGGGCGGGGTGGGCAGCCAGGTCCCCCTCGGCGATGACTGAGCGACTGGGAGCTGAGTGGGTCCTGAAACGGCAGGGCCGTTTTCCACCGTTTCCGAAAACGTGTCCCTTGAAAATGGAAACACGGCAAAAGAACGGCTCTGGGATTGGAACCGACCCCAGAACCGGCAACAAAGCGGCGAGGGAACCAGAAACCAACGGCGTCGGAACTGGTTACGAACACGGCAAAACGGAACCTGTAACAAAAACGGCCCTGTCGTTTCCAGGGCCCACGAAGACTTTGGGCACACGCGCCCCCCCCCTGAGCCTATACCTCCGAATGTTGCTTGTGAGATTCTCCAACGAAGGCTGCGACGCGCGACCGTGCGAGCATCGCCGCGCCCCCGCGGGTGACATGCAGCTTCCATGGGCGAGGACCGTCTGTCCCAGCAATCCTGGCAGCCTACCACGGAATGTTTCGGACGCGAGAAGGTTCGAATAACAGGAGCATGTTCGGACGCGAGAATCCGAATAACAAGGACATGGCTCTAGACCATACTACTGACGGGCGAGAACAAGACTGGCTCGACCAACACTGTTCCGAGAACTTTTCGAGCGAACAACAAAAGTGGGGGCCTCCCGGACGGGGTCCGAGTAGATGGGGTCGGAGGATCGCGCCGCATCGCCGACGCATCGGCGCATCGGCGCCGACGGCATGGAAAAATCTGGCTCCCCATCAGACCGCATCGCCGAAGCATCGGCGGTGGTTTTGCTTCCGAACTTCCGAGGGCTTCCGCCGCTTAGTGTGCCCCAGAAGCGGCAAGGCCGTTTTGTCACCGTTTCCGGAAAACATGTCTCTTGGAAAAAGAAAGCGGCAACAAAAAAAACGTCGACCGGAAACGGACAAAAGTACGGCTCCAGGATTGAAACCGGAGCCCGAACCGGTAAACAATGGCGCTGGAATCGGTAAGAAACGGCATCGTAACCATCAAAAAAAGGCAAAACGGAACCGGTACAAAAACAGCCCTGTCGTTTCCAGAGCCCACTAAGTTCCACCGCCCTTCCGCCGAGGAAGCGATAGCAACGTCCTCGATCCTCGAAGGCACGGACCTCTCTGGAGCGCGCCCCACTCTGTCCGCGGCGCTGGTGGCGCAAAAGGCCCCCCCGCCGAGCCGCGGCCGCGTCACCCGGGCTCCTCCTCCGCCTCGGCCCTGGCGAGGCTCGCCCGCGCCGCGACGACGCTGAGCAGAGCGGCTCTTTTGCTGCTCGGGCTCGGCGCAGGCACTGCTGAGCTCGGCAGCGCCGGCGGGCGGGCCGCAAAGCAGAGAGCGGATGCGGAGGCAGAAGTTCGGATGTTGCTAGAAGTACCCCTGGCCCAAGGTGCCCCCAGGATTTCCAAGGAGGCCCCCACGGCCTTCAGGGCACCCCTCACGAGGCCCAGGGATCCCCAGAGGCTCCAAGCTGGAGCGAAAAGCTGAGCGCACCTGGGGCTAGGGGCACCTTCAGCAACACCCGAGAAGTGGGAGGGAAGCCCAGCCGATGAGAATCAGCATGGCACGAGCGAGCGCGCGCAGGCGGCTGCAAACACCGGAAACTGGTGTACAGGTAGGGGTGGCGTACGGAAATAACCGGCGCTGACAAGAAGGAAGGATGAGAGAAGCCCAGACCCCCTCACGTCACGAACAAACATACCACGACGGGAGTGTTTTTGTAACCGTCTGCCTCCAAAGGTTCCCACGGGGACCCAAGGCCGTCAAAAAGCTTCCTAAGAGAAGAAGCGGGTCCCGGGGAAGTCTAATCCTCCAGGGGCCCGCGGCGTGGAACCTTCACGACATCGGGCGTCTGGAAAGGAAGAGGGGTGGGCGGTCACTCCCACACCTCCCTCCGCTCTCGTGCACGTCCACCTCCTCCTCCTCTAGAGGCCTCCTCGATGGGGTCGGAGTAGATGGGGTCGAAGGATCGCGCCGCATCGGCGATACATCGGCGATGCATCGGCCATGCATCGGCGATGCATCGGCGATGCACTGGCGATGCATCCGCGACGTCGGCGACTCATCGGCGACGTCCGCGTGAAGCAAGTCGAGCTCCGCATCGAGCCGCATCGGCGATGCATCGGCGATGCGGCGCAATCCTCCGACCCCATCCACTCGGACCCCATCTAGGAGGCCTAGATCCTCCTCCTGCAAGGGTGGAGGGAAGGAGTAAGGATGCTCGGGGGGACCAGCTCTGGTGCGGAACCATCGAGCTTCCGACCCGATAGCGAGACAGCAAGCACCCGGGTGGGCTGTGAGGCCCCGATCGCCGCGCGCCGGGGGGGCGGCACTCCAGTGGAAGCGCCAAGGCATCGCCGATGCCCCCGCAGTGCATCGGCGACGTGGGCGATGCAAAGGCGGCGTCGGCGTGAAGAAAGGAAGGCCTCCTGGAATCCAGGAGGGTATCGTGGCCAAGGAAGGCAGCATGGTCCCGCCAAGATGTACAGCCCCGTAGGCATCACTCCCATATGCAGGGGATCAGGGGGTCAAACAGGGGGACATTTTGAGTTCGCTCCTTTTCAACGCAGGTCTTGAACAAGCCTTGCGTCGATTCAAAGACCGCGTTCAAGGCATGGGGCTTGATCTCGGGACGGCCGAACTGTTGACCAAGGCGCGGTATGCAGACGAAATACTTCTCTACGCCGTTTCGTCGGAGGACATCTCCAGCATGCTTGCCGTTCTCCGCCAAGAGTTGTCCCGAAGCGGTTTAGAGCTGAATGCGAGCAAGACCAACGTATTCACAAATGACCCTAATATTGCTGCACTGGAAGAACCTATGACGCTGGACGTTGATGGTTGTAGTTTGCCCGTGATGCTGAAATCAGATATGCACAAGTACCTGGGGAAACGTTTCCACGGAGACCTCCGTGAGCGTAGCTCGTGCAATCTAGAATACCGGATGCAATGCGCATGGTCCAAGTGGCATATGTTCAAGGCAACCTTCGCCAACAAGCGCGTCTCGCCGAAGATGCGCTTGAAGTTGTTCGACAGCGTCGTCACGCCGACCACCATATATAGTCTGGCCACAACGCCGTTGACTACACGACAGAGGGCAAGGCACAAATGTTACGGCGTATCGTTGGGTTTCGCAAAGCTGATCAAGAGTCGTTGGAGGAGGCTGGGCGCCAGTGCAAGCGAAGAGTAGAACGAGCCATGACTGTGTACAAAGTGCCAGACTGGTTCAAGGTAGTGGATACTAGCCGCTGGAAAACCATGTGTAGAATTTGCACCGAGAGGCACGGGTGGCCATCTCTAGCCTTGCGCTGGCGTCCCATCGGTCCGCGTAGAATTGGGCGTCCCAGAACTAAGTGGACCGATTCAATCGACCATTTCTTCTGGAATCGCTTCAATACCAATTTGGAGCGGATTTTTGCGCGACACTCCCGGCAGGCTGGAACCGGATGTTCTGTGTGAGCACTTGTTATACATGCGAGACCGTGTGTGGCAATCCGAGAGGAGTCGTGTTCATTATTTGCATTTTTCCGCTGCATGAGATCTTCGTTATGCATGAATCACGCCGTTCCCGCATGCGGGACGAGACGTCCTAAGGCGCTCGATCGGACTTCTGCTTCTGCTTCCATATGAGAGGCATCCCAGATGGGATCCTAGTAGAGTGTGGAGGATCGCGACGCATCGTCGATGCATCGGCGACGTCGGCGAGACATCGGCGCCGTCGGCGTTAAGAGAAGCGGGCTCCGCATCGAGCCGCATCGCCGAGGCATTAGCGATGCGGCGCGATCCTCCGACCCCATCCACCCTGGCCCCATCCGGGAGGCCTGGATTTGACAAACGGAAAAGGGTCGTAACGACGCAGGCTCCCGAAGGTCTGTGCGGCCGGCGCTGGAGGTGCCGCCAAGGTGGTCCCAGCGAAGATTTAAGAAGTCCACGCAGACATCCCAGCATTCATGCTTCTACTACGTTGCATCTTTGGGGGGCCTTGCCATCGCGCAGCTATCCGCATCGAGTCCACGTCGACCGCGCGGCGAACTCGCGCCTGCTACCCCTCGGACATACGCGGCACGGGCTCTGTCTGTTTGGTCATGTGGATTGTTGTTGATGAACCCTCGTTCCCCCAACCGCGTTTGCACTTCTACTTCTGCTCTGAAGAACTGGGCCGTGCGTTCGGTCTGGCGGCCATGTGGCCGCCGTCGCAGCTCCGTCGCCGCCCGTCGTCTGGGCCGTGCCTTCGGTCTGGCGGCTATGTGGCTGCCGTCGCTGCCACCGTCGCCTCCACATAGGTTGCACCACGCAGACTCTCCTTTCTTGAAACAAATCTCTTGCCCCCAGAATTCCACCCCCAACCCGCATTATCCACTTGTGTTGTAGACTTTCCAAACTCAAGCGTCCGACAACATGGTGTGACAAAACACATGGTTTCGCAACGCGGATTAATACACAAACTGCACACGCTGTCTTTCCGCGAATGGTTAAGCACGCCAAATCTGTTACACCACGCTGCCCAAAAAAAGGTTTCGCGCACGCATGGCGCAATCGTTCGAACGCCCTTTGCGCGCGTGCGGTCGCAAGGACACTTTGCAAACCAACTGGGCGATGTGCACACGCGCGCGTCATCGCGCGCGCATGCCGCAACCAATCGGGCACCTTACGTGTTGCAGCCATGTCAAAACCGAATGTCCCGAACTCATACACAAACAAATGGTTGCGCAACGCTCGCACGCTCTTGCGAATTCTCCCAGAAACGATCCGTGTTTCCCAACCCTTGCATTCTGCCTGGCGGGCCTCTCGCGCCGCATGCCGAAATCATTCGAACGGCTTTGCGCGCGTGATGGGGGGGGGCACGATCCGCGTCAAAGAGTATCATGCGGCCACTCTCGCGCGTCGGCCGCGCGCGCATGTCGAACTCCTTCCAGCACGTTCGTCGCCGGCGGGAGGGCGCCGAAATCGTCGCCGGCGTGATCAACACCCGCGCCGTCATTGGCCGTGCCGTCGTCGCTGTCAGCCTCGCCACCAGAATCGTTACCATCATCATCGTGTTTACCGTTGTCGACGTTGCCATGGTACCGCGCCCGCCAAAGTCACCGACTCGCACTGAAGTGCCCGCTGGGATATGCCGATCGGTCAAGCGGTCAGCGCCACCGCGGCCGCGTCGGTCGCGCCAAGCTAGCTGGTCACTGCGCGCACGCGCATGCGCGGGCTGTCGCGGCAAAAAAATACACCACCGTGGGATGTTGGCGCGATCGGTGGGATAAACAATTCAATTCTCCTTTCTAAAAACGAAATAGGTTCTACCACCCTCCCCCCCCAGACTTATTTACTCACCGGGAACCAATGTAAAACACGTGGGATTCGAACCCAACGTCCATCCTACGTGCGACTTCGTATTATCCCAGCCAAACGGGTATCGACCTCCCATCGGTTCCCTTGCAACAGATGCTATGCGCGCGCATTCGTTTATATCAAATCATAGGTTATTAAGGATCCTTTGCAATTGGAGAACGAAGTGCTTGCCCGCCGTCCCGCGCGCATGCCGTACTCCATCAAAAACTTGCGGTGTCGTTTGGATTCCCAGATGGAGTGCCCAACAAGCATGTACAACCACATGGTTTCGCAGCACGGACGTTCAACAAAAGCGTGCACGGGCGCTCTCGCGAATTCCGCCGAAAATCACGAGGTTCTCAACAGTTGCAAGAACATGCAACCAAACGGGCGCCGCGCGCGCATGTCGAAATCGTCCAAACGCCCCTGCGCGCATGCCGTCGGGAGAATACCTTGCAACAGAAAAACGAAGTGAGCGCGCGCGCGTCGTCGCGCGCGCATGCCAACATCGATGGTGGCCCTTGGATTTACACTGGTCCTCCTCCTTCTCCTCCTTCTCATCCCCTCCCGTCGTTTCGGTCTGCATCTCCCCTGCCGCACCACGAGGCCAATCGGAGGGGTTGGCTGAGCGTTTCGCGTCAGACGGCCGTACCACTGCGCCTGGAACTAAACAAGAAAACAAGGTTACTGATGTAGCGCGGGTCGCTTCCAAAATGTGGCGTTCGCCTTCGTGCATGGCACACTCGCCATAAACATATGCATGAACTTCACGGGTTGAGGGCGGGTCGTTTTCAAACTGTTATCAATTTAGATCCGCGCTGACACGTCTTACACATTTGCAGGAATTGCACGGATAGAAGGCAACACGTGTTCAAACTGTGGCTCTCGCATAAGCGCCTCACACAATCGTTCTTTCAAATGGCAAGAACTTCGCGGAATAAGAACGGCCCGTTCTTCAAAACGTGGCGCTCGCGTTAGAGCCCCGCACATCCGCGTTTAAAAATGTAAGAACTGTGCTGAGGGCGGTTCCGTTTTCAAATTGTAGCTCCCGTCTCGGCGCCGCGCACATTCGTGTTAAGACGTTGCACGCGTTTGCCAGATTCTCATGCTTAACATTCCAGGAACGGTGTCTTTGAGCGACTCGGGATTGCCAGGGCGCATCAGCTACGTTGATTCGGGGCGCTGAAGTCCCAGGAATAATTATCTGGCGCGGTTCAGATCGTCAAGGCGCAACCGTCAGGTTGACTCGTGGCGTTGAAATCCAAAGAATGGTGTTTTGGCACGCGTCAAGATTTGAACACGGTTGTCCCCCATACGGCGCAATTCCCTCAGTGGTAGGGACATGCGGAGAGGGAGCTTGGACGGAGGGTGTATTCCAACATCGTTGATGAGTCTTGGGTTTGCACTGGTCCTCCTCCCTGTCCTCCTCCTCCTCCTCCTCCTCCTCCTCCTCCTCCTCCCTGTCCTCCTCCTCCCGTGTTTTCCTCCTCCTTGTCCTCCTCCTCCTCCTCTTCCTCCACCTCCTCTCTGTCCTCCTCCTCCTCCTCCCTCCTCCTCCTCATCATCATCTTCTTTCTCCTCCTCTTCCTCCGCCCTGTCTTCCCTCTCCTCCCCATCCTCCCTGTCCTCTTCCTCCCTGTCGTCATCCTCCTCCCTGTCCCTGTCCCCTCCTCCTCCTCCTCCTCCTCCTCCTCCTCCTCTTCCTCCTCCTCCTCCTTCAGGGTGCCAAGATAACGCTTCTGGGTGCTGGATGCGCTATCAAATCACCTCAGGGGGGGGGGTCGTTAGAATGGTGTCCGAAGGTTACTCCCCGCCCTCCTCCCGCATCCCTACTCTCCCTTCCTTCTGCCCTCTCATTCATCCTCTCTTCGTCCCCTCCGCTGCCCTCGATGTGTTCCGTCTCTCCTCTCCCGTCTCCCTCCTCCTCCGCCCCTTCCAACTCCCCCTCCTCCTCCTCCTCCTCCTCCTCCTCCTCCTCCTCCTCCTCCTCCTCCTCCTCGTACCTCCTACGTCTTACCTCGTGGGAGGACCAATTTAGCCAACAGCGACTCTCCCGCCTGGCCCACATCCGCCCAACATTGGTTTCCGAGGACACCTCCCGTGGCCCATCCCGACCCGTCTGTGGACGCAGGACCAGCCATGGCGACGAGAAGCCATCGGGAGAACAACAGGAGGGCGCAAAAAGCCAAAGAGCGCCGCCGTTGTCTTCGACTTCCCCATCGTCTGGCTGTCGGCTGTCGGGTGATAATGGAAGATGCGAAAGGTACCGATACCGCTGCTCCTCGGACCTCTCCTGCGGCGCGTTGTGAATAGGATTTCGAGGCGAATCCAGAGGTGGCTAAGAGGGCCTCCGAGAAGGTCGACAACTGGGATAACGGGCTAAAGGTCGCGGCATGGGTACCTCTTGCTCCTGTGAGATAGCTCGGGTCTCCGGCGACCGCTCTGAACGATCCGAGCTGCTGGAAAGCGCGAGGGTCACCGCTGCCTCGACAAGGCCCGCCTCCGACGCCTCCTCCCCCGAGAGGAGGGGCAACTGCAGGGGGCGGCCGGCTCAGGGGGGGGGAGCATCGACCTGGCATCGGCGGTGCATAGCCGATGGATCGGCGGCGGTAGGCTTCCAGTAGCGAGTCCGCACGTTCCTGGGCGGAGGGGTGGGCTAATGGGCCCCTATCGGCGACCCATGGGCGATTGGGCGTCGATGCGTCACCCCCTGAGCCTATCTCCCCTGCAGTGGGGGTGGAGTGGAGAGGACACGCGCCAGGACACAAGACTCTTCCAATGGCCACATTGCCAATAAAACATAAAGAAAATAAGTCGCGAAACACAGGACGCAAATATGCCCTTGTTTGGGCAGGGTCGACCTACTAATCAAACTCCACTGTATCGTTGCCCCCGGCGAAAGCAAAGGCCTGCTGCGCAGCTCAGCGCCCTCGCCGCGGAACGCCTCGGCGGATGACTCGCACTCGTCGAGCGCGGCCCTGCACTGGCGCAAGGCGTCCTCGGTACTCCAGGCCTGTTGAGGCGGCGAGCACCCAGGCATCCGCCACCGCGTCGGCAGCAATTGGCGTGCGTCGGGCCCTTCCGCTTGTTGCGAAGCAATAAAGCAAGCCCCCCGGCGCATCGAGCCCAGGATGCGCTCATTTCCGCGACCAATTTCATGCCTTCCAGATAGGAAATCCGCCGACGCTGTCGGCGTGTGTGGGGTGTCTGTCCGGTCCCGTCGACGGGGAGCCTTCTTTCGCCTCCTCCTTCCCATCCTCCTCTCCCGTCGGGGGAGAGAGGAAGACAGAAAGAGAGAGAGAGAGAGAGAGAAAAAAACACAAAACAAAAAACAAAACAAAAAACCAAAGAAAACAAAAAAGAAAGAGTACCCTTCCTCGTTCGGAGCTTGAGGGAATTCCATCCACGTCCTCACAACGTCAAAGGGAAGCCCCTTCCCTTTGTCCCTTCCCCGACTGGGGGGGGGGTCCACGGGGGGGGGGGGGTCAGATTCGCGTCGCATCTGGGGGGTACTCCTCTCCCACGCCGGTCTTTCTCGGGCGCGCCGGTCCTCCTCGGGTCCTCCTCCCCAGGTATGGGGACGAGGAGTCCCAGGGGAGGGAGGGGAGTCAGATACGCATCCGTCCCTGGGCGTTCTCCTCCCCCTCCCTTCCCCTCTCCCACGCCGGTCCTCCTCCAGTCCTCCTCCTCCCCAAGGGGGGGGTCCCAGGGGGGAGTCTTTTTCCTCCCCCTTCTCCTCCTCCTCCTTCTCTCCGCCGCCTCCTCCTCCTCCTCCTCCCCCTCCTCCTTCTCCTCCTCCTCCCCCTCCTGGTCGTCGTCGATGTCTGTCAGGGTCAGCGGTACCTGCCGTGAGACCTTCACAATAACCCCGAATACAAAGCTTGGGGAAAGGGGCTTCTGTGGCCCATCCCCCACCGAGCGCGGTGGCGGAATCGCGCGGCAGCGCATCTGGCATCCGACGGTACGACTTGTTCAATCTGGCCGTGCTTCCTCGATTTCGGGCGCGCTGCATTCCATACGATGTTTCCGTCCGGGCATCTTTCCTTGATTTCGACAACTGGGGCTTGTTTTCTGGCCAAGGACACCCAAGAATGGATCCAGGCTGGAAAATTACCACCCAGGGAAGGGGCCGGGACCTCTGGAGCCGCCGAACGATTAAAGACACATCGGCGGACGCCAGAGTATACGGAGCACTAGGGCGCAAATCCAGTTTCCTGTAAGAAGGGTTGAGGAGGCTCTCCCCTCCTCCTCCTCCTCCTACTCCTCCTCCTCCTCCTCCTCCTGTTCCTCCTCCTCCTCCTCGCTCCTCCTCGTTGCCCTCAAGCATCTCCCTCGACATTCCTCGCTCAACATCGCTCCTCCTTCTCCTCCTCCTCCTCCTACTGCTCATCCTCCTCCTCGCTCCTTTTCGTTGCCCTACTCCTTCCTCCTATTATGTCCTCACTCCTGACCTACCCTCGTTCCTCTTCATCTTCCTTCTCCCCCTCCTCCATCATCTCCGTCCTTCTCCTCCTCCTTTTACCCCTCCTCCCCCTCCTCCTCCTCCTCCTCCTCCTCCTCCTCCTCCTCCTCCTCCTCCCCCTCCCACTCCCCCTCCCCCTCCTCCCCCCAAGCACAGCCTCTCGATCCCGACGTCTGCCCCGCGCGCGGGCACCCCCCGCGCGGGCACCACCGATGGAGTCCTCCCTGCAAGCGCTTCACCGCGCCTCCGACCGCACCCGCTCAAAATCGGCCCCCCGACCCCTCTCGGCTCAAGTCGGGCGTGTCCCCCTACGGCAGGTTCGCGTCGTGTCGACCCCGGCGTTGGTTTCTGACACCGCAGGGAATCGTTCAACCTTGAACGATCGGCCGTCTCCGCAACGTCCGATCGTTCAACATCGACCGATTCTGGGCCGCCGGCGGCGTTCAACCTTGAACGCCCGCGCTGGGGTCGCCGCTGGTCGACACGACGCAAACCTACCGTACAGGGGGATGTTCGACGAACAAACAAGAAAAACAAAAAATAATCCAAAAATAGTCTGGGGACTAGTTCTGCACTATTTCTTAACCTTTTTGGAAAATGTCTTCGGCGTCCGCCTGGTGCAGACAGACGTTCCCCCCGGATCGGTGGCCGACGGCCCCGGGGCCCGACAACGGCACCCGGAGGCCGAACAACAAGCAGCACACCGGTCCGAACTTGGCGCCCCGAGCGTAACCAACTCAAGGGGCCCAAGAGCACACAAACAAATAAAGCCACACAAATGAGATGATTCCCCATACTTTCCCATGTGTTCTGGGCTTGTGTCTTCCCCGCCCACTTCCCATATCTTATCTTCCCACATTTCCTTGGGAAATCGACAGTTGATTGTGTCTGTGAGTTTTGTCCCCTCCCGAGTAGCCAGCGCTGGGCCACCCCAGGCCCCCATGCAGACGGCTCCCCCATGCCCTGCCAGAGCCACGCCGCGTCTCCGACCGAGTCAGCACCGCGGCCGATCGGAAGGAGGGCCAGCAGATAGGGGAAGAGGCATCGACGGAAACAGGAACTGCGCGGACTGCTCAGATCTGCGCCAGAAGCATCGACATAAACAGGAACATCGACAGAAACATGCACTGCGCGGATTGCTCAGATCTGCGACAGAAGCATCGACGGAAACAGGAACATCGACGGTCCGCGCGGATTGCTTAGATCTGCGCTAGAGGCGCCGCCAGGGGGCTCCAGACCAGATCCAGGAACTCCGCGCGGCGCTCCAAAAGCTCATGCTTATGCACTTCTTCCTCCTTCGAATGGAGACCTCGGCGGCCCTCCCGCACGAGGAGCTCGTCTTCAAACCCGTGGTGGCAACGCCCATGGCCGGAGACCCCCGGGGAGTGTACGCCAAGACTCGCGCCGGCGCCGCCTGGGAACGGCAACAATGCGCCCAAGAGCTATACGACATTTGGGGCGAAGAACAATACATGCTTGAGTTAAGTCGGGCCTGTCCCCCTATAAGGGGGATTTTCGACGAAAAATCAAAAATACCCTCAAAATTGTCAACAAAAAATAAAAGATAATCTGGGGACTATTTGTTGAATATGTTTTGACCTTCTTGGGGTATTTTGGGTGTATTTTTACTTCTTCGTCGAAAATCCCCCTGTAGGGGGGCACGCCCGACATAATGCTTGAGCGGCCCAAGACTGCCGGAGAGCCGCGTCTCTCGACCTCACGCGCCTCCCAGCAGGCAGCACAGCGGAGGCGCCGCAGCTCCGTCGCCGCCGCGGCCGCCGGGGAGGGGCGTCGGTGCCGCCGCCGTCGCGTAGAGGTGTCGGTGCCGGTGCAGCTGTGGGCGCACCCGTGGATGCAGCCGTTAGCGGGCGAAAAACGGTATCAAGTAAACTTTGTCGCTGTCGGGGGCGCCTGTCCCAGGGCGGCTGGAAAGTTTATACCCCTACGGTGGCACCGTAGGGGTATAAACTTCAGCGAACAAGTTTATTTTATACCGTTTTTCGCTCGCTGCAGCCGTCGGGGCAGCAGGCGGTGACGCTGTGGGTGGAGCCGTCGGTGCCGCAGTCGGTGCAGACGTGTGCGCGCCTGTCGGTGCAGCAGTCGGGGCAGCAGTCCTGTTGGAAGCAATGTTGGAGATGGTGTGGGCGAACTTGTCGGCGCACCCGTCGGCGCTGGATTGAAGCATGCGACGCTGTCCATGTCGACGAAATACTTGGACTCCCCGGGCATGGCGAAATTGCGGCCCCACGACTGGACGTACTGGGGCGGTGTGTCCGTCAGGATCCTAAACCCCATGACGACGTCAAGATCCTAAACCCCATGACGAACTCGCTTATGTTGGCGAACTCAATCAACCATGAAGCATCGTTTCGCCTGATTCACAACGGCGACCGACGCGTCTGGGCGAATGACGATGGACAAACCTTTCGGGTCCGACAGGTTGTCGCAACCGTGAACGAAAATCTGCGAGGTAACCTTTATCCAGGGATCGGCGTCTGGACCGAAGTCGTGTAAGTCAGCGGAGCTGGGCTTTTGCTGGTGATGGCATCCTGTTCATACAATTCCATGTCGAACTCGATGTCGCCGTCGATCGCGACCGCGACGGCGTGCAATTTCATGCTCCCCACCCTTGTAGTGGTCAACATCACACGACGTGATCTTTTGCCGGACTGGCGTCTCAGGACAGAACGTATGATTTCGCACAAACTCCCCCTTCCGAGTGACATACTCCCATACCCTTGCTTATGATTTCGCACAAACTCCCCCTTTCGCACATACTCCAATACTCCCCCTTGTCGCCGTGGCGACAAAACATGTTGTTCCATTTTTTTCCTCGGAACAGGACATCTTGGACTAATGAAGGTGATGTCCACGGGGGGGCACCTGCGGTTCGTCCAACGCCATGACATCTAAGTTCATTCGGCATGTGACCCTGCGGGCCCAGCCCCGCCAATATTCGAATAGTGCGATCTCCCTGGACTTTCCTTATCGGAGTTGTCCTCCGAGAAGGAAATCCAATTCTCACACAATCATCTTGGAGGCGCATGGGTGGCAACTCGGGGCACTCATCTGGACACTCGCAACTTATTTAAGCAGACGTGAGATCCGAATCGTCATAGTACATGGTATTGGTCGGGGCGGATGCCTGAACAGGGGTCTTCAGAATCATGCGAGTAAGCTTCACACCATTTGCCGAACATGTTCTTAAACCCCGTTGTAGAGTCAACACATGTTGTTGGTGACGGCGTCGCAACTGCGTGCCTTGGCTCAAACACTCGCTTCGGAGTGGAGAGCGCGGAAAATGGTATTCGGTGCTGGCGCTGGCGGATCCTGCTACCGAGCCCACTGCGTTGGACGCTTGGCCCTGTTCTGCACCTCGCGTGACAAGTGCAGCCTTGCAGCCTGACCACGTCGCACTACTGAAATTCGAGCGGACGGCTGGCTCAATCGACACCTGTGGCGAACGGCGTGTTAGGTAGAATCCGCCGACCCTGTCGGCGAGTGTGAAGGGCTTGTCCGTTCGAGTCGTCGTCTTCCTCATTCGTTAGTCGTCGTTTCTGTCGTGCCCTGTCCCTGCGCCCCCTCTTTCCCTGGGCCCGTCGCCGCTCTCCCCCCCTTTCCCTAGGCCCTCCTCCTCAAGCGCTGGGCCGATCGCCGCTCCCCCCCATCCTTCCCTAAGCCCTCCTCCTCAAGCGCGCCAACCAAAGAGAAATTGAGCAAAATCGTAATTCACTAGAAAGGGAGCCCCTTCACGTTGATCCGACCCCCTCTGGGAGGGAGGGGGTCCCGCATGTCGGCGCAATCCCAAACGACTGGTCCCAATCCCAACCGACTGGTACCAATCCCAATATGATTCTGAAACCAAATAAATGGCCACGCATGGTCCTCCTCCGCCTCTCCCCCTCCTGCTCCGTTCCGTTTCCTTGTTAGCAATGATGGGAGTGTTTTCCACCACCACCACCACCATAAGTTGGAGGGGGGAGGAGGAGGAGGACGAGGAGAAGGAGGACGAAGAAGAGGAGGAGGAGGACCCCCTCCCCCTCCAACTTATGGTGGTGGTGGTGGAAAACAGGCCAATCAAGCAATTCCTCCCTGTCGCACCCCGGGGCCTGTCGGGAGGGCGGGCCGGGCGTTTGGCCTGAGACTCCCGTACCATCGATGAGCCTGCAGCTCAACATCTGGCAATCGTTTCACACATTGAGGGCGGAAGATTTCCTAATTGTGGCTCTCGACTCAACTCCGTGCACACTCGTTAAACTTTGCAAGCTATTAACGGGTTGAGGGCGAGTGGTTTGCAAATGCGCCTCTCGCCCCAGCGCCGCGAGCCTTCGATTTAAACGATCCACAAAAGATTTCACGGATTGATGGCGGGTGAATTTCAAATATGGCTCTCGCCTCAGCGCCGCGCACTTTCGTTCTAAGAATTCGAAACAGCTTCACGGAATGAGGGCGGGACGTTTTCAAAATGTGGCTCTCGGAGCGCCGCGCACACTCGTTCTAAAAATTCGCCGGCCGGGCCAAAAGCGTGCTAAGATCTTTGGTAACTGGTTAACAATATTTCTAGTTCGCGCGCGCGGGGCCGCCCCTGGGGGTCCCCGGACGAAAAACAACCCTGCAAGTCCCGGCAAGGTCCCGGCAAGATCCTGGGCAGGTCCCGGGCAGGTCCCAGGCAGGTCCTGGACAGGTCCCAGCAGGCTCCCAAGAGCGCTTCAAGTGGCCTCCAAGAGAGCTCAACATGGTCCGAGACGGTCCAAGAGCGATCCAAGACGCCAGAGATTACCCCCAGACAGCCTAAAGCGCCTTCAAGATGCCCCAAGAGAGGGCCCACAGAGGCAGAAATTAGTGATTTTCCATTGGTTTCCGCCTGTTTTTGGCGTTCTCGCCTTTTCAGCTTACCCGCGCTTGAAGACGGCCCAAGAGGCTTCCAAGACCGCCCCAAGACGGCCCACGAAGCCTCCAAGAGGGCCCCAAGAGCCCCCAAAAGTCCAGCCTTCAGCCCCAATAGGCCCCCAGGAGGCCCCAAGGAGCTCCAAGAGGCACCCAAGAAACCCTAAAAGGCCCCTAAAAGGCCCCAAGAGGCCCCAACACGGCCACCAAAAGGCCTCAAAACTGCCTTCCAAAGGCCCCCGAGAGGCAAACCACGAGAGCCCAACCAACATCCGTGAGGCCTCTGACCCGCCACCCACCGCCTCGAAAAATGGCAGCTGCCCAACCGCACCGCATTGACAACAACACCCCGACAAACGACAGCGGCGAGGCAATATGGGCCGGCGGAATGAGCGAAGCGATTAAATGAGAAGAAGAGTTTCACAGATTGAGGACGGGCCATTTTCAAAATGTGGCTCTCGCCTCAGCGCCGCGCACATTCGTCCTAGAAATTTGCAAGAGCTTCACAGACTGAGAGCAGGTCGTTTTCAAAATGCGGCTCTCGCCTGGGCACCGCGCATATTGATTTTTAACATGTGCAAGGGTTTCACGGATTCTCATGGCTAACGTACCAGCAACGGTGTTTGGAACGACTCATGATTGTCAGGGAGAAACAGTTACTCTGATTTGTGGCCTTGAAGTCCCACGATGGGTGTTATGGTCCGATTCAGGATCACCACGACGCAACAGTCAGTGGCGTTGAAGTCCTGAGAATGATCTGTGGCACGCTACCAGATTTTCATACGGTTCCCCCCCCCACAGGACAATGCCCTCGGTGGAAATAAACCCTTGTAGGGGCGTGTGAAGATGCAGCTTGGAGGGAGGGCGCATTCCAACATCGTTGACGAGTCTTGGGTTTACACTGGTCCTCCTACGTCCTCACGGACCGTCCGTCAGTTACCGCGCCCGGGCGCCAAGGGAGAACGGGGAACGTCAAGTTTGCAAGCCAGGAGCCCAGAGCGGAGCCGCGGCGACGAGGGCGCCCCCGAAGGACAGGCACGGCCCCGAAACGTTCTACAGACCTCGACCCTCGAGCCTCCCTGGGGCTCTAGCAGATTTCTGGGACGAAGCTCTGTCCTCCTAGACGACGAGGGTCGAGGATCTCGAGGGTCGAGGGCTCGTTCTAGACCTCGACCCTCAACCCTCGATCCTCCCTGGGGCTGGCGAGCCTTCTTCTTCAGCTCCTCCATGTCCCTGGCGAACTCCACCTCGTGCCGCTGCAGCTGCGCCCAGAGCTGGCTCAGCTCGGCCTCCACTTGCAGCAGCAGGAGAGAAGGTTAAGTCGGGCCCGTCCCCCTACAGGGGGGCTTTCGACGAAAAATACGAAGTACCCCCAAAATGATACAACAATAATGCAAAAAGTCTGGGGACTATCTTTTTTAGTATTTTTTTACCTTTTTGGGGCGTTTGTGGGCTATGTTTTACCTTTCGTCGAAAGTCCCCCTGTAGGGGGTTACGCCTGACCTAAAGATAAGGGGGGAGGAAAAACTCGCCATCGCTCGGGCGTCCCCTCCCGGTGTACTTTTTGTTGGCTTTGCGCGCCGTCGGGGGGAGATCCGCTCACAGTCTTACCCCACAAGCTTGCTCTCCACCATTCGTTCTGTTGCAAGAGTTTCGTGGGCCCTGAAAACGACAGGGCCGTTATTTTACCGGTTCCGTTTTGCCGTTTTTGTTGCCGGTTCCGACGCTGCTTTTTTACCGGTTCCGTCGCCGTTGTTTGACCAGTTCCGGCTCCGGGTCCAATCCTGGAGCAGTTTTTTTGCCGTTTCCGGTCGCCGTTTTTTTGCAGCTTGCATTTTCAAAGGGCATTTTTTGTCGGAAACGGTGAAAAAACGGCCCTGCCGTTTCCGGGGCCCACACAGTGCAGGAGAGGCCCAATGCTGCAGACATCCTTCCGATTCGTTATGCTCTCTCTTGGGCTTGCGCTCCCCACCTCTTTTGGCCGACAGATCCCCTCCTTGGGAAGGCGCTTCGGTCGTCTCCGCGCCAGGGGGGACCAGAAACGAGCCCCTCCCTGGGATGGGGAGGGAGTGGGGAAGAGAGCGAAGGGCGGGAGGAGGGAGTGATGGGGCAGGGAGGAGGGAGGATGATGGGCAGGGAGGGGAGGGGAGGGGAGGGGAGGGGGGAGGACGAGGAGCGAGGAGGGGCCCTGGGACGAAAAAAACAGGATTCCAATCTTGTCCCATATTTTCTGGGCTCTTGTCCTCCCCCCTTCCCGCCTTCCTCGAAGGGACTCGTCGTGCGCTCTCGGGGCGCCGTGGTCTCTGGGGCAGGCTGCCATCGGAACTGAGCCTGCGGATGCAAAGTGGGGCGGGAGCCGTGGAAGCAGTGCGCCTCCTCTCTCGCCTGTCTCTAGGGGGCAAACAACCCTACCTCGCTTTTGACCACCCTCGCTTCCAAGAGATACCAAGCGATGCCAAACCACGGCATGTACTGGTCAGGCCGCTTGACGAGGAGGCGCGTGGTATGGCTTGGTTTTGCCTGGAAGCGAAAGCGGGGGAGGTAATTCACGCTCTGACTCTCGCCTGTCTCGGCGGTCGACAAAACTCTTTTTAATCAGCCTCCACGTAGTGAAAACGGTCTAGGACCGAAACCGACGGACCTGGACCGACGTGTCAAGGTAGGAGGTCTATGAACCTCCGACTGTCACGGGTTCGACGTCCCCGCCAAGCTCTCAAGGGCACTGGGATAAAGAGGCAACGAGGAGAGGGAAGAAGGAGAGAGAACGTGGAGAAGGAGAGGCGCAGGGGGGAGCCAGGGAGGAGGAGGGGGCAAAGAGGGGAAATCAGAGAGGGACGAGGATAACGAACATGCTAGACATAAAAATGACGATGATGTAGGTGATAATATCAATGATTGGAAATGGTGATGACTCACCTTCTTGGGGGAGGATATCCCGACGAAAACAAAACGCAGCACACCAGTTACACCAAGCACACCCAACACAGCAGGCACACCGAGAACACCAAGCTCGCCAGGCACACCGAGAGCACAGAAAAACAGGTTTGCAGATTCGCGAGCGCGTCGCGTTTTTCCGAAAGACAGGAGCCGGCTGCCTCGCACAACGCGAGCCCGAGGTCTGGGGCGCCGTCTTCGGAGGCCCCAGGAGGGCTACCTCTGGCCGTCATGGGCAAACGTGCCTCAGTCCATGCCCGCCATCGCACAGCCTCTCCGCACGTCGCCGCGCATTGTGCGGGCATCGATGTTTTCCCCGACGTGCGGCGCCCGAAATATCAAACTCCGCGCGTCAAAAACACAAAACCGCAAAGAGTGATACTTTTGCTCTCCTTCGCTTTTGTTCGCCAGTGGTTCCCAACCAGTGACGCGAAGAACCACTTCTGAGACAGGCGCGGCCCAGAGTCGGGGAGACGTAAGACTCGGGTAGGGGGACTCGGCTTGGCCTGACGGGGCCCTGGCGAACATGACGAGGCCCAATCGGCAACTTGATGCGAGCTCCGGCTGCAACACATCCCGCGACACCGCGCCGTCCAAATCCAGTAGAGGCCTCCTAGATGGGGTCGGAGCAGATGAGGTCGGAGGATCGCGCCGCATCGCCGATGCATCGCGATGCATTGGCGATGCATCGCCGATGCATTGGCGATGCATCGGCGACATCCGCGATGCATCGGCGACGCCCGCGTGCAGAAAATGAGGCTCCACATCGAGCCGCATCGCCGGTGCATCGACGACACGGCGCGATCCACCGACCCCACCTACTCGGACCTCATCTGGGAGGCCTAGATTCAGGGCGCGCTCGTGGAAGGGCGTCGGCAGACCCGCGCTCTGGCGCGCTCCACTCGAGTCCCACGCTTCCCCTACAGAGGAGTCGGGCGTGTCCCCCTGCAGGGGGATTCTGGACGAAAAAGAAAGCATGCTCCAAACATGCCCCAGAATGGTACAAACAGAAATGCTCCAAAAATTGTCCCCTGACTACTTTTTTTTTTGCCAATTTTCCATATTCCCCCTGGAGAGGGACAGGCCCGAGACTTACCCCTGCAGACTGAGGAGGGGCGGGCGGCCTCGGCCCCCTTCGCGCTGTGCTCCTCTGACTACCTACCAGACCACCCCAACCCAACCCGAAGACCCGAATTTCGGGTTGGGGGGGGTAAGGGTTCCATACGTGTTTTCTCGATGTTCCGCGACCCCCCCCCCACTGGAAATGGAGGGCAAATCTGAGCCTTCGGGTTGGGTTGGGGTGGTTTGGTGGGTGGTGATCCTCGGCGTCGATCTGGCCCCGCAGCTGCTCCACCTCCTGCGCGGGGAGAGGGGGCCCGGGCCTCCGACGGCCCGGCAGTCTGCCCCCGGGGGGCGGGGGCGCGGCCCGGGGGGAGGCCCTCTATGGCCCCGACCCCGTCGCGCCGTGGAGGCAGCGGCGGGCTCCGGAGGAGGAGGAAGAAGAGGAGGAGGAGGGGGAGGGGGAGGGGGAGGAGGAGGGGAGGAGGAGGAGGAGGAGGAGGAGGAGGAGGAGGAGCAGGAGGATGAGGAGGAGGAGGAGGAGGAGGAGGAGGAGGAGGAGGAGGAGGAGGGGGAGGAGGAGCAGGAGGAGCAGGAGGAGGAGGAGGGAGGCGGAGGAGGAGGAGGAGGAGGAGGAGGAGGACGTGCCCCCTGGGGGCCCTGCCGGGCCTCGGGGCCGTCGACGAGACGTCCGAGGATGGAAAGCCCTCTGGGGGTCGACCGGCACGGGGGATGCAGGACGCCGGGGGGGTCTGGGCTGGCGCCCGGGATCCGCGTCGGAGCGGAGCAGGCCCGAAGACGACGCCCGAAGGAACAAACTGCACGAGCGAGTTTGAGCAGCAACGATCGCACGCTGTGCTGCGTGAAATTCCCGGCGCTGTCATCATAACTGATTGAGCCCATGTCTGCGCCCCCGTGTGGTCTTCAATGCCCAGCAACACTCTTCAAAACATCGAGGAATACCGATGCCCATGATTATCACCCGTCCTGACTGGAACTTCGAGGCGAATCCCACCGTGGCGACGAGGGCGTCCCCGGAGGCATAAAAAGGCGAAAACGGTGGAAGCGTCGCGCTGTCGGATTACCAGCCTGGAACATATCCCTATCCCTATGCTGGGCATCTCCTCCTCACGATGACAGTCTGTTGGATCCCCTTATGTTTTGAGGGCGCATCCCTAAGATTGTCATCGCCTTTTGGCGTGTCAATCTCAAGGATAGCGATAAGTTCGAGGCTGGTAATCGGTGCCGCCCTCCTCCGGAAGCCGTCGGGGGCCCGGAAGGGAGACGGGGTCAAGGGGCGCAGCGGGGCCAAGCCTCTCCAATCGTGGCGCTCCTACTGCTCCTTCCCCCCGCTCCTGCCCCGAGGAGGGGCAGGACCTCCCTGGGAAGGGGGAGGGAAGGAGGAGGAGGAGGAGGAGGAGGAGGAGGAGGAGGAGGAGGAGGAGGAGGAGGAGGAGGAGGAGGAGGAGGAGGAGGAGAGGAGGAGGAGGAGGGGGAGGAGGTCATCCCCCATCCATCCATCCGTCCATCCATCCATTTAGCCCCTCCTCCTCCTTCCTCCGTGCCCCTCCCTACTCCCCCCCCCCTCCCTCGCAGAGCGAAGAGGCGGAAGCCTTTTTGAGCTAGCCCCCACTTGCCCCACTTCATCCGCTCAACCGGACTCGCTGTTGACGACGTCTCCGTCGGTCGCCCTCCCTCCCTACTCCTCCTCCTCTCTCACCTCCTCCTCCTCCTCCTCCTCCTCCTCCTCCTCCTCCTCCTCCTCCTCCTGCGTTTCTGCGTTTCTCGCTCTGAGCAGCGCCTCGCGTACGCCCAGAGCGCGGAGCGCGCCGCAGCAGCCCACGAGGGCCGCGCGGGCACTCAGACGACGGCCCCGGGAACCCGACCCCGAGGAAGAGAAAGAGGACCAGGGACCAGTCGCTTCAGCACGTAACAGAGGGGAAGAGACGGGGCCGGGTTGCAAGGTGGGGCCCCTAGGGGCCCCAAAAGGCGCGGCGCGCGGCCTCGGAGCAGGCGTAGCCGCAGAGGCAGGGGCCACCGCCCCCCGCCTCTTCAGATGAAGTACTCCCTGCGGTAGCCGAACGCGACGAACTTGTCTCCCCCTCGGTGGCCGCCAGCCTCCTCCGCCTTAGGAGGGCGGCACGCTCACCACCCGAGGGGGCGATGGCGTTGAGGAAGCCGCTGTTCGGGTTGGTTACCTCCGTGAAGCCCTGCTGGTGCCCGATGCACTGCTGGTGCCCGGTGCTCTGCTGGTACCCGTTGGTGTGCTGCTGGTTCGGTCACGGCCTCGAGGGGGGTCGGGCACGGCCTCGAGGATGAAGCGCACCTTCTTGGTCGTATGGGTTGGTGTGGTGGCGGCCGTCGGAGTCCTCCTCGTGGGAGTCGTCCTGGGGCTGCTAGTCTTCCTTCTGCGTCCTCCTGCGTCCTCTGCGTCCCTGAGGTACGGCGCGAAGAGCGGGTCGGAGGCGAGTGCATCTCGTGGGCACTCGGTGGTCCACTCTGCCTGCGCCTCGCTGCCCAGGGAGCTCCAAGCCTGCGTGCCTATCCACTCGCTGGCGCCACGGCCGCGGGCGTAGCGCATGAAGGCCGAGTAGGCCGCGAGCTCGGCGAACGAGACCTCCTCGTAGGCGCGCTGCTCATCGTGCGGGAGCAACGAGAAGGCCGAGCGGGCTCCCTCGGCTTGGACGGTAGCGAGGCGCGCTCGCAAGGCCTCCTCCTCGGTTCTGTCACTGACGTCGTTGAGCGTGTCCTCGAGATCCTCCTCGAAGATGTCCCACGGCTTGCGGATGTTCGATGGGATCTGTCCGCTCTCCCATATGTTGGTGCTGGCGGGGGAGTCGTCGTTGGCCGCTGCCCCTTCTCGCACTGCAGGCTGCCACTGCCCGCTGCCACTGCACGCGCCGCCGTCGGAAAGGGTCGTGGTGTCGACCCTCCTCCTCCTGCTCCTCCTCCTCCCCCTCCGTCCTGCTCCTCCTTTTCCCCTTCCGCCTCCTTCTCCTCCTCCTCCTCCTCCTCCTCCTCCTCCTCCTCCTCCTCCTCCTCCTCCTCCTGCCGCCTTGCCCAAGGACCAGCGCTCCTGCATTGAGGCCGACGGTGCGTCCAACCGACCGCGCCGCGAGGCCCCGCGGGGCGCTAGGACCACGCCCGCCGCGCGCCGGCGGAGGACAGGGGTCGGGCCTGGAGGCTCGCTCTGCCTGGAGACCGAGGGCTCGGGGCCCGGCCAGTCTTAGGGGGCCACACGCGAACCCCTACCCCTACCCCCCACCGATTTCTGAGGGGGAGGTTGGGGTTCGCGTGTGGCCCCCTCCCCTGCCCCTATCCCCCCCCCCTCCCCTGAGAAGTCGTGGGGGGTAGGGGCAGGGTTCGCATGTGGCCCCCTACATTCGGAAGCTGGGCGAGAGGCTGGCAAATCCGTGGCTGCTCCAATGGTCTTCCGGGCAGGGAAAAACAAATTCCCAACAGAAAACTCACAGAGCGCGGTGTTTCATCACCCCCCTCGAAAACGAATCAACCTCTTTACAAATAGTTACTTGCATCCGCAGTTGTCCTGGCACGAGGATGGCGAGCAGGAGGAGGAGGAGGAGGAGGAGGAGGAGGAGGAAGAGGAGGAGGAGGAGGAGGAGGAGGAGGAGGAGGAGGAGCGACAGCAGCAGCAGCAGGAGGAAGCGCACGAGGACGAGGATGAGAAGGAGAAGAAAGGGAGGATGAGGACAATAATGAGGATGAAGAGAAGGAAGAGGAGGAGGAGAAGGAGGAGGAGGAGGAGGAGCAGAAGGAGGAGTTCGAGGAGGAGGAGAAAAAGGAGGTGGAGGAGGGGGGCGCGGAGGATGACAAGGATGACGATGCGGAGCAGGAAGAGGGGAGGAAAAGGGGAGACGAAGATGAATAGGAGAAGAGAGGGAGGAGGAGGAGGAGGAGGAGGAGGAGGAGGAGGAGAGGAGGAGGAGGAGGACGCCCCCCGCGCGACGGCGATTGGGACGAGCAACCCTCCTGGTTGCATCGCGCCCTGGCCCTTACCTCGATCAGAGCACGCCCGTCATCTTCCGTCCCTCACCCTCCTTCTCCTCCCGTTCCCGCTTCCTTCTCCTCCTCCTCCTCCTCCTCCTCCTCCTCCTCCTCTCCTCCTCCTTCCCCCGCCTCCGATCATCGTCATGATCCTCCCTGTACGTCCCTCCTCCTCCTCTCCTCTCTCCTCCTCTCCTCCTCCCCCTCCTCCTCCTCCTGGGCACAACCTGGGGCGCTACAGCGTCTATAGCACCTCAGCCAAATCCTCCTCCTCCTCCTCCTCCTCTCCTCCTCCTCCTCCTCCTCCTCCTCCTCCTCCTCCTATCGACACCTCTGGACTACAACGGGCGGTTGCGCTATTTTCACGCTCAGCTTCCAGGGGCTGCTTCCGGGCCCGGGGGCCGTCCAAGAACGATTGAAGACGAAAAAAACCGGCCCTCCCCGTCGCACCAGCTGGACACTCTTCGAAGTACTGGCCCCGACAAGCCCTTGGATCGACCCACGGGCCGAAGCCAGGGCCTCCAAACCCGGGCCTGGACGGGGGAGCCAGAGTACCTCCCAAGTTTCGCCGAACGTATACATCGAAGGCTTCCTGGTATTAATGAGGGGGGCTGTCCGGGGTTTTCGCGGGGTCCCGGGCGTCCACGGAGATTCCCGGAGGCTCCTAGCAGCTCCAGAGGTCCCTGGAGATTTTCGGTGTCCTGTTGATCTTTCAGCGCGCCGTGAAAGCATGATGACAACATGATGGCGAGTCGGCCTTCAGTGGCCCACTCATCGGCGATCGGTGCTAATGCTGCCCCACCCTGCCCAGGAACGCGCGGTTCCGCTCTCTGGGGCCAATCGCTAATTAATCGGCGGCGCATCGCCGACTCAGACTACCTACCAGACCACCCCAACCCAACCAGAAGACCCGAATTTCGGGTTGGGGGGGGTAAGGGTTCCACATGTGTTTTTTCGATGTTTCCCGACCCCCCCCCACTGGGAATCGAGGATAAATCTGAGCCTTCGGGTTGGGTTGGGGTGGCTTGGTGGGTGGTGAGATTCCAGGTCGAGGTCCACTCCGCCGCCCTCCCCTGCCCTGCCCGAGGCCGAGGCCTCCGACGCGGACGCGGCGGCGCGGGCACTCTGCCAGGGCGGGCCCCTGGCCGCAGGCCGCGGGCCCCGGCGGCGGGCGGGGAGGGCAGGGACGGGGGGCAGGGGAGCTTTCGGCTCCCGGCGACGCCATGGAGCTGCAGCGTGTTTTTTTAATTTTGCTTGGTGGTACTGTCAGCTTCCAGAGGCCGTTTGGCCACGGACCGTGCAAGAACGACTCAGGACGAACTGCTCCCAGGGAAATCGTTCCCCTCCAAAAAGAACAGCACAGAAACGTCGGGGACAGGGTTGCCGTCGCCACGGTCACAATCGCCACCACGCCTCCTATCAAAATCGCCCCCGTCTCCGTTTCAGGTATCATGCGACCACCTGTTTCGTGGATCTGCGTGTGGTGATTTGATGATTTGATAGCAAGGTCCAACGGGTAAATGCAGTCACGGCCGATGTGTAGTTTGCCACCACATGGCGGGCGGGTGGGAAGGATGCTCGTTAGAGAAAGGTCATTGGTCACGCGGCCAGGGCTCACAATGCGTCGCACCAAAAAGGATGGTGGACCACACAGCTTGCTCCACATAGGTTACACTGCATACGCTGCACTCCATGCATTGCACCACGTAGGTTGCACTGCGTGTGTTTGAAATCATTGATCGTACGGATTACATTGCCCCCCCCACATATATTTATATATATATTGTACTATAACACATGGCACCACAACTGTTGCACATCGAGGTTGCAATAACCCGCTGTTTGGGGCCACCGCTGGCAAACATGGCCCCTGTATGCTTCTCACGATGCGACCATCCCGCCAACCCCAAACGAGGCCAGCGAGGCCCGAGGCTCGAAGTCCTTGCGCAAAGACTCGTTGGCGCTGGCGAGCGCATCGCGCTCCCGCTTCACCTGGGCGGGAAGGGCGACGATGATGAACGGCGAGGAGCTCAGCTCATCAGGAGCTGAATCCGCATACGCACGCGCGCATGCACGTGCACCGCTGTGCGCACGCAGGCGTTGCACTCGCTGGGAGAAACGATCATGTCTCAGAGCGCGATCTTGCTGCGCCAGGGGCCCGCCCTGTCAGGGGAGCCCAGAATCGAATCGATAAGTCGGATCGGCGATCGAAATGAATCGGATCGGCGGACATCGGCAGCCGAGTCGGGAAAAGTCGAATCGGCGGAAATCGGCAGGCTAGTAGGTCTCCAATAAGAAATCGGAGCCCACATCGGAATCCGAAATCGAATCGAATCGGAATCGGAATCCATCGAAATCGAGTCGAATCGAATCGTAAGAATCGAAACGCGCCCTGCCCTGTCTGTTACAGATCTGCGCCTGGCGCCGGAGCCGCTCCGACGTGCGCACACGCGCGGACGGCCGGAGACAGACTGGACGCCTCCCGCGCGGTGCTAGCCCCCCGTGGGATGGTAGCCGGGAGCCAAGCGCTCCGAGCGAGGGCGAGCAAGGGAAGGACACGGGATGAGGCCAAGGATTGCAAAAAAAACCCAGGATTGCAAAAAAACCCGAAGGATTGCAAAAAAGGGTTTTTTTTGCAATCCTGGGTTTTTTTGCAATCCGGGTGTTTTTTGCAATCCAGGCGATGCTCGGTGGCTGCCGTGGGGCAAAAGCATACGGCAGGTTCGTGTCGTGCCGACCCCAGCGTTGGTTTTTGACACCGCAGGGATCGTGCAACCTTGAACGATCGGCCGCTGCCGCAGCGTCCGATCGTTCCACATCGATGGATTCTGGGTCGCCGGCGGCGTTCAACCTTGAACGCCCGCGCTGGGGTCGCCGCTGGTCGACACGACGCAAACCTACCGTACTTGTATACGCGGATGTCGAGGACCGGGCCCCTGTGCCACGACCCAGCGGATGCAGGAGGCGCTTCTTCGCGGGTGCCCCGCGCGGGACGTGCACGCGCGACGGCCTTTTCCGCGGGACCGCGCCCGGGATCCAGACCGCGAGGGCGCGGATACGGATGTGCTTCGAAGGGGCTTCGAATACCTTGAGGGCGGTCCCCCTCCTCCCCCCAATGCTATAGATCAGGGGGGCGTAAGACCCGGGCACAGGGGACTCGGAAATCCCCGACGAGGTCGTCAAAAAAACGACGAGGCCGAGCCTGCATTTTGACGAGGCCTCCCGCTGCAGACATCCCACGAAACTCCTACTCGTCAAAATCCGAATCGCGGTCGTCAAAAAACGATGGCGAACCCGAGTCCTGGCAAACCCGGGTCTTACGCTCCCCCGAATAGAGTGAGAGGAGGTGAGACCGCGAAAGCAACTGAGAGGGACCTCAGCCAAGCCCAGGCCTGCTGAGGCGACCTTGCATGCTCTGAATTCTACTTCGTCTGCACAGTTGGTTTCCCGTCTAGCCTTGCCTCCAAAAAAGTGTTCGCCGCTCGTGAGGCTGGGGCAGTGCTCGCTCTAGTGCCGAGCAGCGGGCGCAATCGGTGCACGGCGCGCACGGCGAGGACACGGACTCACGGAACGCAAACCCCTTGCCCAACCCCTGCCCTCGGGGGCGGCCAAGGAGGCGTCCAAGAGGGGGCGGCGCAAAACATGGCTGGCGCATGTGCGCGGCCCGGGGGGGGGCCAGGGATGCCTTGAAATAGGAAGGGCGCCGTGGAATATGGGGAGATATCATGGCGCCCGCCATGATATCCACACACCCCTCGTCATCACCCCCGTCTTTGGCCGCTCCGGATACCCTCTACCTGGTACGAACCTGTGCCGATGAGCTCGAACAAACAGCCTCCTGGGGCACCCCGGCAGACAATCGACGACGTGATTCCTCCTCCTCCTCATCCTCCTCCTCCTCCTCCTCCTCCTCCTCCCCCTCCTCCCCCTCCCCCTCCTCCTCCTCCTCCTTGTCCTCCTCCTCCTCCTCCTCCTCCTCCTTCGGAATCATCCGGCGGAGGAAGGCAGGGCCTGCCCCCGGGCGCGCCGCCGAGAAACTCATGTCGTCGGTGGTATTGGCATGAGGTGGACCCCCAGACGTCTAGAACCCTTCATCCTGGACAAGCGGCTCTTCCCGAGTCGTTATTTGGCATTCCTGGGGCCCCGTTCGCGCCGGTGGGAAAAAGTACTCCAGATTTCGTAATAAAGAGAGGGGGGTCTCATTTCGGGGGGGGGGGTCTCTTCCAGGCTATCTTGGAGGGCCTGGGGGGGTCTGGGGACGATGCTTTGGAGGGTTCTCCCACGGGGGAGGTCTGAAATGGCTTGTCTTGGAGGGTCCAGACCCCCTCCCTTTTATTACGAAATCTGGAGTAGGTAGACACATGAAGTAGAAGGCGGGTGAAGTAGACTGGGCCCAGCCCCTCCCAGGGAATACGAACACACAGCAAGAAACATATCGATTATTGAGGTAGGAAGGCGCCTGAAGTATATTGGGATCTCGCGTTTGCTTTGGACGCCCGAAATGGGTACGGAAATATGGGTACAATGCCCAACAACAAGTGTTGTCGCAAACCGACAGCCGCCGCTGTTGGGCAGGCGGCCTTCTGTCTCAAGTAGAAACAGGCCGCGGCTGCGCGGACAGCGAGCCCTGCTCAAAATGAACAGGAACTGCTGTTGGGCATTGTACCCATTCTTTCTGTACCCATTTCGTACGTGCAGAGTTTTTCCCCCAACGCGAAAGGGTGCCGGAGTGCTCCAGGACCCCAGGCCCGCGGGCCCCTCCCCGCGCCCCCCCCAAGGACGGAACGGGTCCCAGGGCCCCGGGGGCCTCCCCCCCCGTGGGGGGGAGCTGGGACGAGGACGAGGACGAGGACAACGGCGACGGTGGCAGCGGCGGGGACGACGACGAAGGGCTCGGCGCACGCGGCGCGAGTTTCGAAGTGTCTAGCGCACACGGCACGAGCCCCGAAGGATGGACCCCCACAAGGGTTCCACAGCAGCACGGCCCCGCACCCACAGGGGTGGAACCCATCGGGGGAGAGGGGGTCTTGGGCGCCCAAAATGGGAACCTGAACCTACAACAATCGGTACGTGTTCCAAACCGGCAACGACCGCTGTTCGGCAGGCGAGTCTCTCAGGTGGACAGTGAATGCGGCGACGCCGGCAACGAACCCTGCTCAGAACGAGCTGAAACTGCTGCAGGTCTTCGTTTCGATTCTTTCCGTGACGATTCCGATCGTACCGGTAAGAGGGACAAGCAGCTGCACAAACATACACTTGCTGAGCTCTGCGTAGGATCCCACCAGCCCTTTGGGCGTGAGTGGTTTAGAGAGCTCTCTCTGTCCTCAACCCCCCTTCTTCCCTTTCGGGGAGGGGTTTAACCCTCCCCCTACCCCCTCCCCCTGGGCCTGGAGAGGGCGCCCCGCGGGTGGTTGGAGGGGTCTTTTTCGACTCCTGGGAGAGCTAAAAAACGACACCCCTCACGAGGATTCTGGCCCCGACGGGGGGAGGCAGAAAAATGCTCACCTCTTCTTTGAAGCCAGAATCATTGATTTTACTACGGTTTTGGCCCCATTTTGGCCTTCTGAGGGGGCAGCGCTACTTAAAGCTCCCCTCTTCTTTCAAGCCAAAATCATTGATTTTACTAAGGTTTTGGCCCCATTTTGGCCTTCTGAGGGGGCAGCGCTAATTAAAGCTCCCCTCTTCTTTGATAGATTTTCTCCAAGATGGCCCCAAGAAGCGCCCAGGAGGCACCAAGAGGCCCCAAGATGGCCCCAAGAGGCCCCCAGGAGGCCCCCAAGAGGATCCCAAACTGCCCAAAGAGGCCCCCCCGAGGCACCCAAGACGCCGAAAAGCCCATCAGGACGACCCTCTACTCGCCTGGGCGTCGTTTCTGGACGGGCAGGAGGAGGGGCCCGAACGACTCACACCAGGACGAGGGGCCCGAACAACTCACACCACGAGAAGCCCGAACGACTCACACCAGGACGAAGAGCCCGAACGACTCACACCACGAAGAGCCCGAACGACTCACACCAGGAAGAAGGGCCCGAACGACTCACACCAGGACGAGAAACCCCAAACGACTCAAACCACGAGGAGCGCTTTCTCTCCCTCCTCCTCCGCCTCGTCCTTCTCCCGCTCCCACCACAAGGAGGATGTACAAGGAGGCGGGAGGAAGGAGGAACAGGGGAGATATGCGGGGGCAGGCGGAAACACGCCTGAAAAACACGACTGTCGGCATGCTTCGCTAGAGTTGCTGTTTTGAGATGGGCTGGTGGGGATACGCGAAGCGTGAAGAATTCTTGGATCTGCGCCCGACCCCCCCTCCATTGCGCGCGGAACGCGCGATCCCGTAAGCATAGGGGAGGCGCTCTGGACAGGAGCCTGCAGAGGCTGCCAAAGGCTTCCGAACGACCACCTGGCGACGTCGGTCGTCGTCGTCGTCGTCATCGTCGACGTCGGTCGGCGACGTCGACCTCGTCGTCGTCGTCGTCGCTCGTCGTCGTCGTCGCTGCCGTCGTTCACGTCGTCGCTCTGGGCCAGCCCCGCGCGAGCCGCCTCCGAATGCTCCCGGTCAGACTTCTCGACGAGCTGTTCCTGCGCTGGTCGCCGTGTGCAGCAGTGGGGTGGGTGCTAAAACCTGGAATGAACATTTCGCCTGTGGGAGATGGGACAACAAGTAGTAGTAGTAGTAGTAGTAGTAGCAGCAGCAGCAGCAGCAGCAGCAGCAGCAGTAGTAGTAGTAGTAGTAGTAGTAGTAGTAGTAGTAGTAGTAGTAGTAGTAGTAGTAGTAGTAGTAGTAGTAGTAGTAGTAGTAGTAGTAGTAGTAGTAGTAGTAGTAGTAGTAGTAGTAGTAGTAGTAGTAGTAGTAGTAGTAGTAGTAGTAGTAGTAGTAGTAGTAGTAGTAGTAGTAGTAGTAGTAGTAGCAGCAGCAGCAGCAGCAGTAGTAGTAGTAGTAGTAGTAGTAGTAGTAGTAGTAGTAGTAGTAGTAGTAGTAGTAGTAGTGATAATAAACAATGATGTGTGGTACGCCACTCATCAGAATGATACCTCGTTGCTCATGGTAAGAAGATTCAATATACGCTTGGCACTTCCCCTGGTCATAATGACAATCGGACCCGCCGCTCCCCGCCGCCGACGAAAACTGCATCAGCCGGGAATCATCATCGGGGGCATGCAATTATCATTGATACCGGCTCCCCCTCCCGAACTGCCGCCTTGGCTCGCACGCGCGCGCGCACGAGCAGGCGCGCTGGTCCTTCCGGCTCAGCGTCGCCGTCATCTCGCCCAGCGTCGCCGTCGCCCCCACGACCTCGTTCCTGAGAGCCTGGTAGGGCTGAAGCGGCCGACGAGCACAGCGGGGCGCCCACCAGACCGCCCACGCAGATCCAGATCCGACGAGGAGGAGGAGGAGGAGGAGGAGGAGGAGGAGGAGGAGGAGGAGGAGGAGGAGGGGAGGAGGAGGGGAGGAGGAGGAGGAGAAGCAGCCCTGTGCCTCGTGAGAGGGCCCCGCCCGACGACGCTGCACCGCCCGCCGCGCCGAAGCGGCCTGCGCCAGGGCCCTCACCATCGCGCTCCCGAGGCACCTCTCTCTCCCGTCGCCCCCCGGGCAGGCAGGCTCCGTCGGCATCGCATCGGCGGGCCGGCTCGGAGCGGGGCGCGCCTCGGATCTAGGGGAACAAAAAGTGGCATAACCATGTAAAAACTCGGAGGTGCGCCGATGCGAGACATCCGCGCGGACCTCCGAGTTTTTATGTTTATGCCACTTTCTGTTCCCCTAGGTTTCTGTTCCCCCTAGGATCGGGCCGCAGCGGCCCGGGAGGCGGGATCGGAGCAGGCCGGCCAGGAAGCTCGAGCGCGCAGCAGCGCCCAGGCAGGCAAACCTCGGGGCCACCTCGGATCGCCAACAAGAGCCCGGCGGGAGGCGCTGACGGCTCCGATGGAGTGGATCGCCCAAACTCCCGGCCGGGATCGAGGACGGGTCGGAGCGAGTGGCTCGAAATGGACCCCGAGAGGGGGTGGCCGTCGCGGAGGGGACGACCGACGGGGCCCTGGGGCACACACGTAAATACATACAAATAACAGGATTCCCAATATTTTCCCATGTTTTCTGGGTATTTGTCTTCCCCCCCACTTCCCATATTTTCTTATATTTTCTCAGGAATCGACGATTAATTGCGTCTGTGTGTTTTTTCCCCTCCTGAACGACGGACGACGCAAGCGATGACGACGGCCTCGGCAGCGGCCCAGCCAAAGAAGCGACACACACACACACACACACACACCGTTCTCAAGACTGCCCGGCCTCGAAGCCCACACTCAATACCGAGAGTCTCGGGAATACACGAGGGCACCTGCGACGACGTCTTCAACGACGGCCACATCGACAGCGACGTCGACGGCGGCAACGGCGGTAGACGACGACGTCGCCGTCGACGATTGGAAACCAAAGAGATACCGATGCCTCTGCTCCCCAGACCTCTCCCAAGACGCGTCCTGACGAGGGTCCTCGGGGAGAGTGGCCGCAGCGACGCAAGGGCGTCACGGCGAGGACCAACAAGGACATCAGGAAAGGTGTCGATGTCAATACGGCAGGTTCGTGCAGAGACGACGCCGGCGCTGGTTTCTGACACCGCGTGTATCGCTCAACCTTCAACGATCGGCAGATTTCGGATCGCCTGATCGCTTCGTATTGGCCGATTCTGGGCCACTGCCAACGTTCAGTCTTGGAAACCCGCGGCGGAATCAATACCGCGTCGACACGAACATCGAGGATGCGGCGCGACCCTCCGACACCATCAACTCCACTTCCATCTGTCGGGGGCGCGCAAACATGGATTAGCGATTCATGGATTTGGTGCGCAGTCGCCAAATCCATCGATCGGGGGGGGGGCCCTCCACAAAATGCGGCCGGTGCCGCCTCGCCCGGTGGCGAAAATCCGCGATTTCCCATGGAAACGGGACCCGTCGCTGATCCACGCCCCTGATCCATGTTTGCGATCGCCTGAATCTGGGATACCAGGACTCCCGACCACGACATCCGCCCCACATCTTTGGACGCCCGAAATGGTTAGGGAAAAAATGGGTACAATGCCCAACAACAAATGTTGTCCCAAACCAACAGCGGCCGCTGTTGGGCAGGCGGCCTTCTGTCTCGAATGGACACGGGCAGCGGCGGCGCGGACAGCGAACCCTGCTCAAAATGAGCAAGAACTGCGGTTGGGCATTGCACCCGTCCTTTCCGTACCCGTGTCGTCCGTGCCGAAACTTCCTCCGTCCTCCTCCTCCTCCTCCTCCTCCTCCTCACCCTCCTCCTCGTTCCTCCTCCTCCTCCTCTTCCTCCTCACCCTCCTCCTCGTTCCTCCTCCTCCTCCTCCTCCTCCTCCTCCTCCTCCTCCTCCTCCTCCTCGTTCCCTCGAGCCGAACGTCGCTCTCCCGGCCCCTCCCGAAGAGGGCCGTGCTGGGCCGGCCCCTCCCCCCCCCGAAGAGGGCCGACGTCCGCCGGCGCCCTCCCGCGGCGCCCGAGGGCGCGCGGCCTCCGCGCGCCGAGGGCCGCGGGGCACCACCGCGCGCCGAGCCCGCGCGGCGGCGGCGGCGGCGGCGGCGACGACACCGACTATATTGGGCGCCCGAATTATCCGGGGTAGCTCGGGTCCGGGGTAACTCGGGTTCGGGTTCCCGAAAAACGAACCCGAGTTATCCCTGACCCGAAAGCCCCTGATGATTCGGGGCTCTGGGCGCCCGAATTATCCGGGGTAGCTCGGGTCCGGGGTAACTCGGGTTCGGGTTCCCGAAAAACGAACCCGAGTTATCCCTGACCCGAGTTGCCCCTGATGATTCGGGGCTCTGGGCGCCCGAGTTATCCGGGGTAACTCGGGTCCGGGGTAACTCGGGTTCGGATTCCCGAAAAACGAACTCGAGTTATCCCCGACCCGAGTTACCCCTGATGATTCGGGGCTCTGACTATAGGCGGACCTCACCGGACAAAGGACACTTTTTTAGTCAACGGCCGCGGTCGAGCGCGCCGGCGGCGAGTCAGGTCCAAGCGGGCTACGCAGAGACTAATTCCGCAGAGGGAACCGGACAGGACGCGCGAGAGGACCAAAAAAGACCCTCCCGAGGGCCACGCCGACCAGCCACGAACTGGGGGGAGCTGTGGTCCTCACCCCCTGGGGGAGCCCAGCGCGTCGGCGATCTCTCGAGAGGGGCGTCGAGATCGATGGGTCCCCCCCAGGGGGGTAAGGACCACAGCCCCCCCAGTTGTGGCTGGCCTGCCGCACTGCCATAGGAATGCAGGAGGCATGGGTCGCGAGACACAAGGCACAAAGGTACCCTTGATCTGGCAGGGTCGACCTACACATCCGGGCCGACTCTACAGCCATCCTGCTAAATCAAAAAAGCATGAGGAAGGAACGGAGAGGCTTTTCTGGCCACGGCGAGCCTCGGCAACGAAGACGTCCCCCGACCTAGACCTCAGGAGCGGGCCGAAAACCCCAGCCATGCCTCAGCACCAAGTGATCCGTATAGACGAAGAAGAGAAACTGTGCAATCATAAACGGTCGAAAACCCGCGCGGATTCCTTGGATCGCTGGATGCCCCCTCCCTGGCGTGCAGAGCGCGCCAGGAGCAGCAGGTGCACCTCAACGTCGGCGAGGCTGCCCCCTCATGCAGACTGTTCCCCCTTGCGACCTGCGGCGACGGCTGGCCAGCATCGGACGGATCCGGATCCCCAAACCCGACGAGTTCAATACCAAGGTCCATCTGAGGGATACCCTTCCAAAAAACAGAGATCACCCTCAACACCAAAACCGAGCCAGGTTGATGTAAATCACCCGGGCGGGAATTCGTTTCGAGAGAAAATCGTCCTGTCGGAACTTTGCGCGGAATTCTTCGACCCGCACTGAGCCCCCCTGGCGCGCGGAACGCGCCGAAGCCGGCGCCAGAAACGCCGCAAGGGGGGGGGGCCAACGCCGATCCGAGAAATCCGCGCGGAGTGTCGAAACTGAATGTTGTTACAAGTGATTCTTCCTTCCAAGATAGCCCCATCCTGATGATGGACAACAGCTTGGCTCGGTATCAGTCTTGAAGATTCCTCCTGTTTCCTGAACGGGCAAACCCCGATTGAACATCGTTTCGGGCTCGTCGATCTGGGGATAGGGACGACTTTGAAGCTGGTTACCCATCGTTGATCGAAAAAAACAGTCCACTGTTTCAGGCAGGTGGGCGACGACGGCGACGACGACGACGATGACGTAGACTTAAACGACGGCGGTGGCGGCCAATGCGCCGTACACGGCAATTGTTTTGTCACTTCCCGCGGCGGGCCCTGCGACAACGACAGCACGGAATCCACAAATCGGCGGCGAACCTGGGGTAAAAATAAGAGGGGGCGGGCGTTTTGAAAAGGCAAGGAAGCCCCCCAGCCTTCTGAGAAGTTGCCTAAGCCTTCTTTAGAGACACAGGCACCCTTTCGCTGAAAAAGCATGTTCCTTCTCACCTCCCGCTCGCTCGCCGCCGAACAGGACAGACGCTCGCACACAGCTTGAGGAGCAGCAAGAGTATGCAACACGAGCACAGATGATGCACCTGCTAAACAGGGCAAGACGAGGAGGAGAAGGAGGAATAGGAGGAACAGGAGGAGGATGAGGAAGAGGAGGGGGATGAGCATGTCGGAGCATCTGCTTAAACGACAACACATGTCGTCCCCGAAGGGTGCTCCAAATCGAAAAAAATGCGCTCTGGGATAGGACCAAGGTTTGACGCCATCCCTCTTGCGGCCACCTTCCCCGAGGTGGTGCTTCGCATCCGGTGGTGCTGGGGTGAACGAGATACCCTCCTCTGGAGACGATACAGGTCCTGATGCTGCGGACCCCGCTGCGCCGACGCCAATACTGCGGGCCAATTACGCGGATCCAGGAAGGCAAACGTGTGCCTCACCCGTGCGTAGAACCCATGGCGCGAGAAGTGTGAACCCTCCACCACGGCAAGGAAACGGCCGCCTGCATGCCCCCAACGCCCACGCGTCGACTCCAAGTGACAGTGTGTTTTTCGCGTTAGGTGGCGCTGGCACCAAGATGCGGTGCCATGTCCCTGCGAAGGGGAGGAGGAGGAGGAGGAGGAGGAGGAGGAGGAGGAGGAGGAGGAGGAGGAGGAGGAGGAGGAGGAGGGGGCGGATAAGGAGGAGCAGAAGGAGGAGGAGGAGGAGGAGGAGGAGGGGTAGGAAGAGGGAAAGAGAGAACAAAAATGAGCATACGCAGTGCATTCGCAGTCAGTATGTTGTCCTCCCGCCAGGGCGCTCGGGCCGACGCACGCGCCCAGTCAGGCACATGAATACCGCCCCCCAGTCCGTGATGCCAGCTTTGTGTCACGAACGTTCGCGTACACACTCTCGAAGCCCACCAAGACTCATGTGCAAGTGCGTCTTTTTTGTGTCGCCCCTGAGAGAGGAGCAGGAGGAGGAGCAGGAGAAACTGGAGGCGAGGGGACAAGTTAGACGGGGACCGGCTCAGGGGGCTGACACATCAAATAGGCCCCAATAGTGGAACCGCACGGTCCTGGGCGAGCAGGGCTATCGGGCCACTATCGGCGGTGAATGAGCGCTCCGGGGCCGATGCCCTCAGCCCCCTGAGCCTATCACCCCCCCCCTCACGCTGCCCTGATCAGGGGTCAAAAATCAAATCGATCCCCAGACCCCTCAAAGGGGTGCGTTCTGCGCAGAGTCCCATCAGCCCTTCAGGGCGTGAGTGGTATAGAGCGCATTCCTCTGCCAACCCCCTATTATCCGCTTCGAGAATGGGTTTACCCCTGCCTACGTATACCCGCTCCCCTCGAACGGGGGGGCGGCGACCGAACAAAACGTCCAAGACGGCCTCGGCGAGAAGGTCACCATCATTGATTTGACGAAGGTGTTGGGGACATATTGGCCTCCTGGGGGGGGGAGCCTAATTCCAATTCAGTGCCCCTTCTTTGATCGATCGCATCCAAGAGAGCCCGAAGATGCCACCCAAGGCTCCCACGGGTGCCTCAAGACGGCCCACAGCGGGCCTCAGGAGGCACCCGGGAGGCCCCAAGAGGCCGCAAGATGCCCCCAACAGGCTCCCAAAAGACTCCCAAGCGGCTCCAAGAGGCTCTCTCGACTTACCCAAGACGCTCCACGAGGCCCCTGGGCCGCCAAGACGCCCCAATAGGACCCCAAGAACTTCTCAAGAGACATCCGAAGAGACTCAGACAGACATCCAAGAGGCCTCTGGCTTTCTGCTAGCGATCGTCCTCCTCCTCCTCCTCCTCTTCTCTTCCTCATCCACCTGTTCCTCCTCCTCCCTCCTCCCTTCCCTTTCCCCTCCCCCACCTTTCCCTCCTCCTCCGATTCCTCATCTATTCTCCTCTTTTGGTGTACGGCGGCTTCCCCAGCCCTGTATTCCATTGCATGCTCCTCCACATCCCGACTAAGGCAACTCGCCTGGGCATCGTTTCTGGATGTGCCGCTTGGGTTACGAACCCAGAAACGTTTCAATACTGATGGCACTACCACAGGTAGGACGGGGAAGAAGGGAGGATGAGGAGGTCCTCCTCCTCCTCCTCCTCCTCCTTCCCCCCTCCGCCTTATGGTGATGGTGGTGGAAAACAGGCCCCTCAGCCTAGACGCCCCAGCTGCCCGACCTGTGGGGCGCTGTGGCGTCGAGTGGGGGTGGCGTGAGACGTGCGTCTGAAGGGCTCGAATTGGCCTGACGGGGCCGACAGAAGAATGACGCGGCCCAACCTGAAATTTGGCACCAATTCCCGCTGCAGACATCCCGCGAAACCTGGACCGTCAAAATTCAAGACGGACCTCTTAAGCAGCGTTTGCAAGTCCGAACTCACGCTAACTCGAGTCGCACGTTTCTCCGAGCTATACCCCCAATTCCCTCATCGAACTGCTTGGCATCCTGGCCGACCACAAGACGTGGTGCAAACGTCGAGCCCATCCGACAGTCCAATCATCCGATATCTTGTCTTTTTCAATACGTGGTCCCTGGAAGTTCTGGCCCTTCCCCCGGGGCCAAAGGCCACATGTTCGTCCTGAGTCCTTTCTTGACGGTCTTTCTGAACAACTACTGGGAGGTCTTCGTGAGAAATGCCACGATCCAGCCGGCTTCGGCCGCACAGAATTGGCTTCAGCGCCACTGCGCCAGATCCAGCGGGTGTGTGTGTGTGTGTGCAGAATCGTGCCGGTGTTCGACCACGGACATTACCAGCGCCGATGCTGAGTTGAGGCTCCCAGGAAATGCATCCTCAGACGGTCCCAGGCTTAGTGGGCCCTGGAAACGACAAGGTCATTTTGTTACCGGTTCCGTTTTGCCGTTTTTGTTGCCGGTTCCGACGCCGTTTTTTCACCGGTTCCGGCTCCGGTTCCAGTCCTGGAGCCGTTCTTGTTGCCGTTTCCGGTCGCCGTTTTTTTGCCGTTTCCACTTTCAGGGGACATTTTTGGGAAACGGTGAAAAAACGGCCCTGCCGTTTCCGGGGCCCACAGAGGTCCCATGGGCTGGCGAGGGCCTCCAGCCAAGGGCCGGTGAAAAAGCCCTCCGCCTCGGCCGTCCCCCGGAGGCCTGTGCGCCCCCATGGCGGGCCTGCGCCGCGGGCCCGCTGCGCCGTCGCAGGCACACGGCGGCGCAGGGAGAGCGGACGTGTACAGTCGGGGCGTTGGCCCCAAGGAACTCTAAAGAAGGAACGAGGCCCCTTAGATCCACAAGTTGGACTCCGATCTCCCATCGAAAACCAGAGAAAAACCCAAGGCAAACTGTGAAGCAATCAAGGAACACGGAGCCCCTCCCCAGCGAAAAGGGTTCCTTCTTCAGGGCCCCGACTGTAGAGGCCTAGCGAGCGGGGTCCGAGGCAGAGGGGGGGCGCAGGCTCGCAGCGCATCGCGACGACGGCGTGCAGAAGCTCGGGCTCCACGCGCATCGCCGATGCAGCGCCGACGCGGCGCGGGCCTCTGGCCCCATCTGCTCCGACGCCACTTGGAGGGCCTATGAATGTGGGGAGGCAAGGGTTGCAGCGGTTGTGTGAAGTTAGAGGCTTCAGTGAACATCCTGGCGCCATCTTTGGTCTAGGCTCGAAGCCTCATGAGCTCTCCTGGGGTCCTCTGAGGGCTCTCTGGTTGCCCTTTTGGGGGGCCTCGTGGGACAAACTCTGGGGCCCTCGACCGAACATCGGGGGGTGGCGGCGGTTTTGGACACCCGACATGGGTACGGAACATATGGGTCCGATGCCCAACAACACGTGTTGTCCAACACCGACGGCGGCCGCTGCTGGGTCAGCGACCCTTCGTCTCAAAATGGACAGCGCCCGCGGCGACACCGAGCACGAATCCGGCTCAAAAAAATGATCAGGCATTGCGGTTGGCCTCTGTGCACATGTTGCCCGTGCTCCTTACGATCGGACAAGCGGAGCGGGCCGGCCAGGATCGACATCGACTCGGATCGACGGGGTCGGAATCGACCCACGACGTCATGATGTGCTCATAGCGTGGACCCCCAGACTTCCGCACCCCTTCCCAGGATCGGTTTTTCATCCCGAGTCGTTTTCGAAAGGCTCCAAGCCTGGTAAGGGCCCTTCGAAGCCGAAAAAAAGAAAGTCGCCCGCACTGATTTGCCATGGCCCGAGGGCTCTGGGGCCTCAGTAACCCAGCTTCCCACTCGCCCAGAGATACGAGGCAACCTTCGCGCCATCGCGAGGCTACCATGGGCAAGCGGCTCAACATGGTCAAGAACTGCTGTTGGCCTCTGTGCTCCTGCTGTCCGTGCTCCTTAACGATCGGACTGCGCGGCGTCCCACGGCCTCGACGTCCTCCTCGGCGCCCGGCGACGGCGGCGCCGCCGCCGCCGCGGCGCGCCGGCGGCGCGCGCTGAGGTCGCCGAGGGTGCGCTCGAGGGCGGCCTCCGCGGGGGGGGGGGGCACGACGAAGCCAGCGAGCGGGCTCGCGCGGCTGCGGCGGCGCAAGCTCCTCCGCTTTTGGTCGAGGACGTGTCTGGTGGCTTTCGGCTTCGAACCTCGGAGGGGGGGGGGGCACGACGAAGCCACCGATCGGGCGCTCGGGCCGTGGCTGCGCAGACTTCTCCGCTCTGGTCGAGGACGCGTCTGATGGCTTTCGGCTTCGAGCCTCGGTGGTGGCTACGGCTCGCTGAGCGGACTCTGCTGGGCGGCCTCGGGGAGGTTCGGTCGGCATCCAACTCAACCTAAGGAGGCGGCGTCTATGTGAGGGCGATTGAGGCTGAGGGCTTCCAAGTCCGATTCAATGGGCCATTGAGCCGGACAAGGCCAAATTGAGCTGGACCAGGCCAGGTCGCCGAGGGTGCGTTCCAGGGCAGCCCCGGCGGGAGAGGAAGCTCGGCCAAACCCAGCTATCGGACGATTTGTGATCGTCGTTTCTCGATGTTCGCGCCTCCGGATCCACGACGACCTTGGCCGCGGATTAGAAAAAACACAATTTGAGCAGGGACCGTCCGTCCGGGCAATCCTATAGGCCTACCACGACATGTCTTTAGAACCCAACAACCCAACAGTGTTCTGATATGTTCTCAGAACAGGAGCCCGATGTGCTAAAACGAGCACAGTCTCAGCCAGAAAGGTTCCTGAGAGCATTTCGTGCAGACCACAAAGGTTTCTTAAAACATATTTTGGTGGGCCTACACTCGACCAGGATAGAAAGGATGCGCGGTAAGGATGCAAAGGCCCTGAAGCGCCATGTTGACGTTCTCCGTGCGGAGCGCAGCAGAATGCCGAAGGATGCCGCATACCGAAGGGGCAAGGATGCGAGGGTAGCCGTGGAAAAAAAAGTTGCCCCACCCTTACTACCACGGTTTACTGTCTAGGAAAGCCAGAACGCTTCGCCACTTTTGGACACCCGAAATGGGTACGGAAAGAATGGGTACAATGCCCAACAACAAATGTTGTCCCAAACCAACAGCGGCCGCTGTTGGGCAGGCGGCCTTCTGTCTCGAATGGACACAGGCCGCGGCGGCGCGGACAGTGAGTCCTGCTCGAAATGAACAGGAACTGCTGTTGGGCATCGTACCCATTCTTTCCGTGCCCATCTCGTTCGTGCAGACGCTCGAACAGCGCCGGCTGTCAGGGAGAGTCGCGCCGGGAAGCGGGCTCGACACGGGGTGCGCGCGGGCTCGGGCCGCAGGCGGCGCGGGGGCCAGACTCGCGCGGGGCTGGCTGCGCCAGGGTGCCTGGAGGGGCCCTGAGACACACAAATGAATACACACGCAAATAAAAGGATTCCCCATATTTTCCCATGTTTGGGGTTTTTGTCCCCCCCCCCCCTTCCCATATTTTCGCATATTTTCCTGCGAGTCGACGAATAATTGTGTCTGTGTGTTTTTTGCCCTCCTGAATGCCATGCCCGGCAGCGCAGTGCGGGCAGCGGGCCGCAGCGGGCCGCTGGAGCACCGGGACCGAAGCGGAGCGGGCCGGCCAGGTTCGACATCGGCTCGGATCGACGGGGTCGAAATCGACCCTTGGGGGGGAAATGGCCTGGCGGAAGCCGCAAAGTCGTTATTGTCGCCGTGGCGTTCGTCGCTTTGGTCGTCGCCGCCGCCGACGCCGCCTCCCCAGGCCCACGACGTCATGATGTGTTCATAGCGTGGACCCCCAGACGTCCGCACCCCTTCCCAGGATCGGTTTTTCATCCTGGGTCGTCTTCGAAAGGCTCCAAGCCTGGTCAGGGCCCTTCGAAGCCGAAAAAAAGAAAGTCGCCCGCACTGATTTGTCATGGCCCGAGGGCTCTGGGGCCTCAGCCACCCAGCTTCCCATTCGCCCAGAGATACGAGGCAATCTTCGCGCCAGCGCGAGGCTACCATGGGCAACCGGCCACTGTCCAGCCTGGGCAGCGACGCGCGAAACGCGGTGAACTTCGCGCCCCTGAGGGTGACCTAGCGTCCGTCGTCGTCGTCGTCGGAGAAGGAGGAAGAGGAGGAGGAGGAAATGGAGGAGGAGCCAGCATGATTTGCGACGATCGTTCCACAATCAAATCGCATGGGTAAAAACGACAGCCTTGGGAAAACGCGAAGGCGTCTGCATACATTCCCAATACTGAACGCGGGGTCTTCGCGACAAACAAACCACGATCAAGTCGCACGGTTCAGAATGAGCTCCAGGGCTGGTCGAGCGCGTCAAATACCCAGCACCGACGTGCATGAGGCGCAGAAGCCTTGATTCGCGTTGATCGCTCCACAATGAAATCGCAAGGGTGAGAACAAGCGTTGGGAGACAAACCTGATCGGACAAGAACGGGAAGCGACGATTTTGTCTAATGGGCGTATTGGGCGAAGAAGACAAGGAAGACGAGGGCAACGAGGAGTCGATGACGAGGACGACGTGGCGAACGTGAGGATAGCGAGGAGGAGCATGAGGACGAGGAGGAAGAGAAGCACAAGGACGAGGACGAAGAGAACGAGGGCGAGTACGAGGAGGAATGCGGAGGGCGATGACGACGACGACGACAGAGGACAATAAGAGGCAACCTTTCCTGACATGAACGGGAAGCGCGTGAAAGGGAAGAGTTGCGCAAGAACTTGCAGCATCACCGTGATCAAATGTAATATAGGCGAGCTCTCCGAACGCTCACAAAGGATACGTATGGACACGCGCCCCCCGAACGTTTACAAGCATATTCCTGGTTATCCTCCTCACTCCTCCGCATGAGGAGGACGACGGCGAAAACGACAATCGTGGGAGGAGGGGGAGGAGGATAAGGAGGAGGAGGAGAAGGAGGAGGAGGAGGAGGGAGAGGGGGGAGGAGGAGGAGGAGGAGGAGGAGGAGGAGGAGGAGGAGGAGGAGGAGGAGGAGGAGGAGGAGGGCCGGCAGCAGCAGCAGCAGCAGCAAGAGCAGGAACAGACGGTGAGGATGGGGATGGGGACGGGGAGGAGGACGAGGAAGAGGAGGAGTAGGAGGAGGAGGAAGACGAGGCGGAGGAGGAAAGAGAAGGAGGAAAGACAAGAGGAGGGGGAGGAGGAGGAGGAGGAGGAGGAGGAGGAGGAGGAGGAGGAGGAGGAGGAGGAGGAGGAGGAGGAGGTGGAGAAGCAAGAACAGGAGGAGGAAGAGCAGGAGAAGGAGGAGAAGGAGGAAGAGGAGGAGGAGCAGGAGGAAGAGAAAGGGGGAGACGAGGAACTTCGTTCCCACGCCCGAATCGGGTGCTCTGAATTCCTGGGTGGGGGGGGGGGGGGGGGACACGTAAAAATACATTAAATTCACGCCCCCGAGACGCCCCCGAGGCAATAGACCCTCATACACAACGCAAGATTCGCGTTCTCGAGGCGATAAACCTTTAGTGAATTACGCAATATTCGCGTCCCCGAAGCCATCAACCCTTGCAACATACGCCATGTTCGTGTCCCCGAAGCCATCAACCCGCGTAAGCAACGCAACACTTGCGTCCCCGAGACCAGAAATGCTCGTAATTTACACGATGTTCGCGTCCCCGAGGCCATACACCATGTTGAAGTATGCAATAGTCGCGTCTCCCAAACCAGAAACCTGCGTGAATGACGCAACACTTGCGACCCCAAAGCCATACACCCTCGTAAATTACATAATAATCGCGTATCCGAAGCCATACACCCTCGAATATTATACAAGATTCGCATCACCGAAACCATACACCTGCGTAAAGTACACTATATTTGCGAGCCAAAAGCCATACACCCTCGTACATTAAACGCTTGTCGCGTATTCGAAGCCATAAACCCTCGAAATACAACACCGAATTCAACAACATCATCAGACTATGACTTTGTCTTGCCGATTACTCATCGTCTTCGCGTGAAGTCCCGACGCTGCTTTACGGCGGCGCCAAGGCTGCATGATTTCGCTCTTGCATTGCCCATCATCCGAGAGAGGGGGCCGGCGGCAGGTGGCGAAGCCCTTACGGATAACACACATAGAAACAAGCAACGATGACGCGCATGATGTTTGGAAAACCGCAGAGCAGTGTCCAACTGCGTTGCGCACTCGCACCTGTTGACAATCAAACTCCTAGCACCAAATGCCCCACGCGCTGAGCAAATGGCTGCTGACAGCCGCTGAGTATCTCCTGTCCCTCCTCATGCTCCTCCTGCACCTCCTCCTCCTCAGACGCGCGAGAATGAGAGGAGGGGCCCACTAGTCATGCATCGATTGCTACGTGGGCCGCCGCTGGCGAAACAAGCACCAGCGAAACCACCTGCTGGCAAAACCAGAAGGGCGAAAACAGCGCCAGCGAAACCAGCGCCAGCGAAAACTGCTCATGCCATGGCAGCGACAGTGTCGATCGTCCCTCCAACTCGCCCGAATCCTTCCCCCTTTCGTACTCCTATGTTGTCATTCACCCATGTCCCTCCTCCCTCGGCCTCATCCCTCCTACCTCGCGCCTCCTTCTTACTCCTCCTCCTCCTCCTCCTCCTCCTCATCCTCCTCCTCTTCCTGCCCCACTCACTCCTCCCGACCTCCTCCTCATCCATCTTCCCTTCTGCATCTCGCCTAACGCCTCCGATCCCCCATCCCTCCTATCCCATATCCTCATCTCTCCTCGTTCTGCTCCTCCTCCTACTCCCCTCCTCCATCATTCTCCTCCTGCCCCGAGAAGATCGAGGCACCCAGTCGAAACCCCCTTGGGCAACCTGAACGCCCCCCCAAAGCCGTTATTGTAAGGCCTCCTCCCTCCACCCTCTTCCATCTTACCCTGTTCCTCCCTCCTGCTCCTCCTTCTTCCCCTCCCTTGCTCCTCCGTCGACGACGACCCACTGCGGCAACCACGACGACGTCGACGTCGACGTCGACGTCGACGTCGACGCCGACGCCGACGCAAACATCGACGACCGCGACGACGTCGACGACGACCACGGTGACACACGACGCCGATCACGCCGACGCCGACCGCGGCGACCACGACGCCGACCACGACGACGCCGACCACGAGCACGTCTCCCACGACGACGCCGCCCCACGACGAGCGGCTGCGAGCTGCGGCGAGCAGCGATGTCGGTGCCGCCCCTGCGGCCTCGCTCGTGGCCGCGCGCTGCTCCGCGGCCGAGCGGGACACCTCCGCCGCCCTCAGCTGCCCCTGCAGCTCCTGCCGCAAGAGCAGCCGTCACCGAGTCGGAGAGTCGGGTCGAAGCCCGAATGTGCATCTCAAGTCGGGACGCATCGGCCAGGAGACGTAAATCGCATCGATTCGGCGGCGCCATACAAGCCTCGGTCCGCGTCGGATCGCCGGACACATCGGCATCAGATCGGATCGCGCTGGCCAGAGCCGACATCGAAACGGATCCATCGGATCGAGATCGGCCCTGCTGCCGCACGGCACGCCGCTGGCGGCGGCGACGGCCTGCAGCCGCGAGGACGACGGCGGCGACGGCGACCCCAACATCCGACGCTGTTTTTTGAAGGGGCCCCGGGACACACAAATAGATACACACATAAAAAAAAATACCTATATGTTTTATATGTTCTGGGTGTTTGTCTTCCCCCCCACTTCCCATAGTCTCCCATATTTCCTGGGGAATCGGCGATTCATTGTGTCTGCGTGTTTCTTTCCCTCCCGATTCTCGCAGCGCTGCCCCGCGACGTTCCCCGAGAGATCATGCCGCCTCCGGTTGTTGTGCCCGGCTCTGGAACCCTCGCCGCCCCGAGCTCTGCCCCCACAGGAATGCCTTTCATTCCGCATCAGCCTGCGGTGGCCCCGTGGCCGGCCATGGCCCCCAGCGAGCCGAAGCCGACGAGAGAATATTCCACGATGGCAGAAATCAGATCCTCGGAGATCTGGGAACGACGGCGAAAGGCTCCGACGAAAGAAACTTCCACGATGGCAGAAACCAGATCATCGGAGATCCGGGAACCACGGCGGAGCGCTGCCGACGATGGTGCCGTCGGCGGCAGCGGCGGCGGCGGGCTCCTTCCCGCCGTTTGAGAGGCGGCAGGCGGCGGCGGCACCGAGGACGACAAGGACTGACGAACGAACAACACACACCCATAC